GAGTATACGGACCGACATAGCTTTCCTTTTTTTAGGATAGTAAGTTGTAGTTTACTGGTTGTTGATATGTGATGAGATTGAGCCATTGTGGTTTAGAGGTTATATTCATGGGCATATGCTACTGTTTGCGGTTTTTCTTGATGCAGATTTTATGAGACACCGGTTCCACTCCCCCGTCTAAAAAAAAAAAAAAAAAAAAAAAAAAAAAAAAATTTTGAAAAAAAAAAAAAAAAAAACGAAAAATAAAAAGAAGGAACGGGAAAGGAGAGTGATTGGAACCGGAAATGTCGAGTTATTATTAGTAATATTGTTAAGCATCAAGGGTACTCATTGGTTTGATTGGGATAATGTGTTGGTTAGTTTGATCCGAGCTTAAGGGAAGCTATGTACCTCCTACTTGGTCTGTGTCTCACTGTGATTTCGCATAATGACATGCATCCGTTTTACACTGTTTGAGAACCCGAAACACTTGAGTCACCAAATAATAGCCCTTTCACCTAGCCCATAACGTGTTTGATATCCCCTTAGTGAGAGTACACGCCTTTGTTAATGAATGTTAAATGGTTAAGTTATCTGACTCTGAAAGTTCTTTTAGATCTCGGGACTTAATTTTGTTGCTACGGTTATGGCGAAGTACAGTCTAGTACAGTTTGATGAGTTTTGTGATAGTGGTTTGCAGGCAATTGATAAGAGCATGATCCCGAAGAAAATGTGACACTACAACAAAAGTGTGCATTGATAGCACTAGATGATAGCACAAATTTTGAAATTGCTATTAAAGATGGTATTCAGAGTTTAGAAACTATATCATAACGTTTTTAAAACGCTAAGCCCAATAATAGCAAAACGGAAAGGTAAAATCACTTTCGACCGCCGATCCTTACCAAAATTTTTACACTTAGCGCCTAAAATAAAAAAAAAAGGAAAAGAAAAAAAAATTATAACCAAGCAAAACCTAATTTCTATCTCCTTTTCTATTCTTCTCCTTCGACGCATCCCAAATTTTTGAGAGAGCCAGAGTTTTCAATCATCAGCTAATTCATTCTTTCACATATCGATTCTCCTCATCGTCTCTTCGATTGAACTAAAAACCTGAAGCTCGCATTCTCGCATCACAGATTCACAGATTCGTAGTCGCTCATCCGCGTCTTATGGTATTGCATCTCAATCATCTCGTTCTTGATAAGACCTCTTACCACAAACCCTAATTTCGACAAGCCCACAGAGATTCAAACAGAAAAACCTTGGATTTCGTCTTATGGTATTGCATCTCAGTCATCTTCATCCAGTCTTATGGTACGCTTCTCGTTTCCTTTACAAATCTAACAGTATACTCTCTCGCTCGATTCTGCTGATTCTTTTAAATCTGAAAGTGATATTTGCTTATCTGTTGTTTTGATTCGTTTTTCTTTGTGACTGAACGAGCTAGAAACATGGAGATTATATTTGCCATGGCTTCTTCAACTCTTGGAGTGATAGTCGCACAAGGAGAAGGCACTTTTCCAAAAGTTGTCCTCAGTTCTCCTTAGAACAGGTAATACTGTTCACCATCTCTCGCTGTCTCGCAGTAATTTGTATCTAATCTAGAATCCTCTTTTTGTTTGATTTCTTCAATTTGCTGCAGAAGATTGAGTGATATCTAGAAAGTTGCGAGTGGAGTAGATCTTATTTGTTTTAAGCCAGATGTTGTCTTTAATAAGATTAAGCCCATCAAACCAGGAATGAAGAAGACCCACAATTTGCTTTATCAAATGTTTCTGTGATTTTCTTTATACTGTTTTCAATTGTTGTCTTGTAGCTGGAGGGGTCAGAGTTGTTGGAGAACCAAGGTGAAAGGTTTTCAGGTAACTTTCGTCTTGTAATATACCACTAAAAATCCAAGGTTTCAAAAGTTGATACAAATGCTTTTCCATTTCGTTGACTTATGCAGAGATAGCTTCAACAACACAATGAGGTAGAGCTTTCTGAACTTGGAATTGGTATAGATTCTTACTATCTCTTAATCTTGTTCAATGATATGTGTTTAGATTGTTTTTGACATACAGAATGAAAACGAAGGTGACTGGGAGAAGGACCTTTCAGGGTTGCAGGAGAGTTTAAGCTGTTGACTGGGAGAAGGAGCTTTCAAGGTTGCAGGAGAGTTTAAGCTGTTGACTGGGGAGAATGAATGCTGCAATTATTAAACGTTACAAGCTACAGTTTTATGAGGTGAGGTGTTAGTTTTGACTCATCTTCTTCAAAATGTTGATCTGTTTTGTGTTACTTTGGAGAAGTCCGTGAAGTGAGAATTGTTTGGAATGAGACATCAACTTGGAGGGAGAGAAAGAGCAAACCATTGGAGTTCTTCGTTTAGTCTATCTGAATGGCAGTACTTATGTTGTTTGAGACCTTGTTTTGTAGCTACTTTGTAATTTAACAATTATGTATCTTTTGATGATCTATAGAAATAAAACATAGTTTTAACAAATTGGTTTTTGTAGCATAGAATCAATTGGATTTCCAATTTATATATTTGGAACAATATAGCAATTCATCATTTTATAATGTAGCACATAAAAATAGCTACAAAACAATATGACATAGCAAAAATTATGAGTTACAAAATAATATATTAAAGCATTCGATTAGTGCTATAATAGAATGATCTTTAATAGCATGTAAAAAAACGCTATTGTATGGGGTGACCCTATTATAGCTGGGGCAGAAATAGCGTTTAGAAAAACGCTATTAGTTACGTATAATAGCGTTTATCGTGAGCTAAGAATGTGCATTTTTCTTGTAGTGTGAGTTCTCGTGTTATCAAACCTCTTCTCTTGATAAGGATTTCAGTTTTCCTTGAGGACAAGCAAAGATCTAAGTCGGGGGGAGTTGATATGTTGTGTTTTTATCGGTTTTGAGTATTTGTTTTCTTTTCTAGATTATATATTTTATAGAGTCAAAGTTTGTTTTTAGAGTCTTTTAGTCCGTTATCGAGTCTTTACAGGTTTTAGGTTGCTTCGGAGGAAAACGAGCTGTTTTGGGATCTAAACACACTTTTGGAGATGCAGTTTCGGTTAGAAGTGGCAAACGTTTGGCATCAGATGCAAGACTTACCACCGTTAGATCTTTCTGAATTTTTGACACAAGCTAGATGAAGATGTTAGCTTGAGTTTCCAAGTGATTTGAAGGAAATCTAACGGTGCATTCAAGAGTTATACCCGAATTAGTGAAGACAGGTCATTCTGGCGAGCATTTGAAGCAGTTGCAGAGCTAGAGACCAGAAGCTCCAGATCGATCGATCCCTTTGTGGATCGATCGATCCACTTCCCTGACGGATGAGAAACGTTCCAGACACTGCTGGATCGATCGGTCCTCCTTTGGATCGATCGATCCCTTCCCCAGACATACTTTTGGCCCAGATTTGACCCGATTCACTCCAGATTCGACCCGGCTCGTTTCCTATTGTTTTAAAACCCTATGCTCGACTCTTTACACATTATCTTTGATATTTTTCAGTTCTAAACTTTGTTCTTTGGTTTGTAAACAACTTTGGGCAAAGAAATCCATCCTCTTGACACTTGGAGAAGATTTCTAAACCCTATCTTGTTATTTCTACAATTTCATCATGTTTTCTTCATTGATTTTTGTTATCTCTTTTTCTATGTGTGAGTAGTTCTCCTATTGGGTTTTAGGGTTCTTATTAGGGGATTCAATGGATTGATGGATTGATTGTTGTTTGGAATTCTCATTCTCTAGGTTCTTTGATTCACATGTTCTTAATGCTAGAATAGGATTGATCACCCTGTTGTAGTAACTAGGTTTTTCTATGCATCAAAAGTGTTCGATAGAATGCCTGAAAGAATGTGAATTGAGCAATGTATTTCTAGCCAACGAAAGTTGACGTTAGGACGCATTGTGAACTTAATGAACTTGTTTGATAATGCGAATTTGACTAGGAAATTACATGCGAAAGTTTAGTAATCGAGTAGTCAAATTTAGTGATTAATGTCTTGAAAGAGAATTAGTCTAAATATGTTCATGTTCAAGAACGGTGCTTAATCATTGAATTCCTTGTCTCATGTTTCCATTATTCGTTGATCTCTGAAATACCCTAATGCCCAATGTCTTTAATTCATAAGTTTAATCGTTTTAAATTACCTGCATTTTTATTTATAATTCTGAAAACCCAAACAAAACAACCCTTCGCTTTAGCTAAGAACGAGTCTCGGAAATCTTTAGTGTACCATTGGTTCTTGTGGATCGACCCCGTATATACTACCTTGCGGTTAAGTGTATCGGGTAATTACTCGAGCAATCACTGCTCAATGTAACTCTGAGGGGTGGACCAACATCAGAGTCGAAAACCCTTGCTTCTTCTCCTCCCAAGTCAGAAGCTCCCGTTGGGTCTTGGTCAGCTCAGGAAGGTTTCGGAACCGCAACCTCTGAATCTCCTCTTAAGTTATGAATATGAAAGTGATTTTTCAGAGAGATTCAGATTCTGAGATTTTAGAAGGTTCTCTTAGAGTGGTCCGCGGGTAGAAGTAACACAAAGCAGAGTGTATAAGAGAAGAAAGATGAAGCAACAGAAAACAGAGTTTATGTATAATTTTGTTTTCACACATAAAACCAAAGCTTTTTTATATCATTAAAACACACAGAAGCCGCTAGTTGTCGACGGAATAAGCAGCATAGAGTTTCACACCTTGTGACCTTGCGCTTCCAATCTAGTATCATCTTCTATAGGTGATCCTCCACGAAATAGGCTTTCCCGAAGTCATACAAAGACTACAATAGGAAGCAGCTCTTTTGCTTTGCAGTAGGAGGTAATCCTCCTGGTGCACAGTTATCACATATCCTACTAGTTTAAACACCAATTCTTAGCTAGATTTGTCAAATCATTAACCTTTGCATCTATGTCGATTCCCTGAATTTGGATTGAAGAATTTGTGTAGAAGATTAACATATTTGGGACGCTTAGAAGTTAGAACTCATCCCTATGGATTGAAGTATCAACTGATAAATAAAACTGAAATAAGGTGATAGACTTCAACAGTAATACAAGGACGAAGACAAAATCTGAATAGATAAAAACCAAAACAAGAGTAAAACAAAAAGATAGATGATGATTTTCAGTACTTAATCGGTGCAAGAACATCGAGCTGGGATCCAAGTTTCTCCTCTGCAACCTTCTCGGCCTTTGCCCTGAGCTTGTTGAGTTGCTTCTTACGCTCATACACAGCTTGTGACCTCTCCTTTCTTTTCACCTCAAGCTCCTGTAAAATCATTAAACCAAAGGTAAATTCCCAATTTCTTCTACAGATTGAGTGACATGATTGCCTTCTAACTAAAATGATTGCAGAACGATATGATCCTAAGTTTCTCATTAAAACAATCAGCAAAAGACCCCAAACAATCGGACAATTTCATTTTATGATCAACATAAGTTCTGATTTCCAAATAAGTATATTCCAAATCAACTCATAAGATATTTATGAACACAAATTTAGTAAATGAAGCAACTTTTTTGTTTTTGTTCCATAACAAGGAAGAAGAAATGAACAAAAGGGACATACCTTAATGGTATCGTAATGGTTCCAGCCAACTTCAGAAGACAAACGTCCCAACAAGCAGTACTTGTGACCAGCCTGAAGCCTCAACACCCTAAACAAAACAAAAACAAACGAAAATCAGTTGATAGCTAAAACACATTGGACATAATCAAAATCACAAGATAGAACAAAGATTCAGAAACATTACTTGAGAGCATCGGGAATGACCATTCTCTTGACCTTGTCATAAGGAGGTGGTACTCCCTCAAACACCTTCAAACGTGCAAGAGCAGCAGCCCCACGCTTGGTCTTGTGTGGAATCATCCTGTCAATGACATATGATCACATTTCATTATCAAACATATGAATTCTAACACAGACATAATTGCACAAAGATCAAAAGCTGACCATTTCTTCATACTTACGTAACTAACCAACCTAAACCCAAATCCATCCATTGATACAAACTTTTAACAAGTTATACAAAAGAAAACAACTTTCCAAAAACCCTAAACTCAAATTCGGATCTTCATTTTCAAGATTCACATAAGAAGCTAAGAACTCAAAGATAACGAGATTAGATTACGAACCCACGAACGGTACGCCAGAAGATCTTAGACGGAGCACGGAAATGAATAGGACCATGAGAAGGTTTAGTGTTCATACGTTTCCTAAGAAACCTCATGTACTTCATCTTCTGACGAACCAAACCACCAGACAAACAAATCTCCTCACATCGGAGAACGACAACACTCTGCCCATTGAGCAATTCTTTAGCTGTGATCGAAGCAAGACGACCACACATATGGTGACGTGCGTCAACCACAACACGCTTTGAACATATCCCTGACCCAGACACCATCTTCTCGCTTCGATTTCGCCTTCTCCTTTAGCTTCCGCTCTTCGAAAAGATCTCGGCTTTACTTCAATGGCGGCTTTATATATGATGCGACATTAGGGTTAAGCGTTCTCTAAACCCTAATTTATTGGGCCTTTATTGGGCCTTTTGTATAATAAGGCTTAGGCCCATTACCAGGCCCATTACCAGGCCCATTTGTTTCTACTTTCGTTTTTATTTTAAGGTATTGGAGATTTTCAGATTCTTCTTCTTCTTCATAGGATCAGCAATGAATATAGCTTCGAGGATTCGACGAAGTTTTTTCAGAGAGAAGAAGGAATATTCCGATGGGAATAGCTTGAAGAATGGATCGAGTGTTAAGGAAGAAGGTAAAGATGAGATTTTGGGAGTAACTGATGAATTAATCGATCGAGTCAGATCTTTCACCATTGATACGTTTAAGAACTTTTCTCTGGAAGGTAATTGCGAATTTGGTTCTCAATATTGTTAGTTTTTGTGATTTGTGAAGTTGATTTTAGTTCTGAAACAGATGAAGAAGAAGAAGTATCTGTGAGTCATTTGGGAGATGAAGATAATGGAATGAGTTCATCTGTCAATGTGAAGAAGGATTTGTCTGATTGGCAAGAGAAACACGCGGTTCTTGTCTTATCGAAATCGAAGGTTTTTTTCTTAAATTTTGATTCTTTTGGTGATTGACTTTTGTGTTGAAATGAATGGAATTTGTAGCTGTAGAGATTTCAAATGATCAATGTTTAGCTTTTGGAGCCAATGGTGCTATTTAAGTTGGATTCAAATCAGAGTGTGTGGGCGGATGATTCTTATAGAGCCTATTATAAAGCTGATGGCTTCTTGATTTGCTTGTAGCTTTGAATTTTGATATCTCTGATATGTCTATATTTCTAAATGGATGGCATTGGTAATGGTAGGACTCTTGGCCCACTGGTATCACTTGAATCAGAATCGGATCAGAGTTTTTGTGTCGAATCTTATAGTTCATTTGATGCTACTATCATCCTGAATTGCTTGTAATCTGATTAGGCTCATGTCAGTGAAAATGGCATACATGCTCATGTTTTACTGTTCAAGATGATTTTGTTTTACAGTTGGTAAAACTGAATTTGGTTGATCAAAAACATTGGGTTGAATCGAATCTTATAGAGTATTTTCAAAGCTGCTCTAAACAAGATTGATTTTGGTGTTACAGGAACTCTCACAGCTGAGATTCAAGTTATGCCCGCGACTTTTAAAGGAACATCAGTTTTGGAGGATATATTTCCAGCTTGTGAGGAAGCTTGTTGCAAAGTAAGTACTTTCTTATGCCAAGTTTCGTTTGAGATGGTTCCATGTGTTATAATGCTCTTGTAAGTGTTAAATGTACCTTACTGTGTTGATCTGTGTATGATTCCACTTTCACATAGAGATAGTGGGATGGGTTTTTTAGCTTGGAACAAAAAGATGCCTATAAAACATGTGAAATGCGGGTTTGACGATGGTTATGTTCATGGAAATATGATCGGTAATTGGAAATTATTTTGCAGATATGAGGTGCTAGCAATTCAACAGGCTAAAATCAGGAGGATAGCCATGGAAGACAGTAAAACTTGTGAAACCAAGGGAGTATATGAAGTTGAAATGTCAGAAACAAAGCAAAGGTTGAGTACAGGATCTGCAACTCCGTGAAGCTTCTGTGGCGAAGTTTGGGAGAGAACATGACAGGTACTGTAATATTACAGACTACTTATTTACTTAATACAACCATTATCAACGAGAATGAAAGCACTCTAAGGATCCTATGACTTGCTTTTGCAGTTTTGCTCACAAATTCAGCAAACCAAAATGCTAAACCATCGGAGTTTAAGCAGGGCTTGATCAGTAAATAGTGTTCATACTGTATGTTTGAAAGGTGACAAAACCAAGAAGGTTTTGATTCTTCAGAGATGTAAATGATCATGTGAGTTTAGTAGTATCAGACATAACACAGTGGTCTTAAACGCTTTGTAGTAACAAGAATAGACATCATTATTTAATGTTTTGATTCATCCGATGAGCAAATGATCCAAAGAGGTGAAATATTTTACATAAACCAAGAAACCTAATCTTAGCATGAAAGATGCTAACTTAGACTTTTGAAGAAATAATTCCAGAAAGCAAGACAGTGAGTGCAGTGCCAATAAAGAAGAGAGAGAGATGAAATCTAATCGAAGCATTTTACTGCAACCTGTGTTGTGACAGAAGAATTGGTACAAGTACCCACATGTGAAAAGCCCAATGAGAGTAGAGTATCAATGAAGAAGAAAGAGATAAAACCTGTGACTAAGGTTTTTGTTCAGACAAGTTCGCTACTTTTGCTGCTTGAAACCAAAGTATATGACTTGGAAAGTAACTCTAATGCAGAACCACAAACTCAGACCACAATGGAAGCAAGCAGATAAAGAACAAAGGAGAGATTTACAATACTAATTCAAGTAACTTGGCAGCAAAATTAGACATTATTTAGTTGCAAATGAGAGAGATTTAACATTACATTATTCTTGACTAACAAGTTATACACCAACCCTAAAACCCCCACAAGTTAGTCTGTGTACAATTTTCATCTCCTCTGTTCCAACACAGATGTTTCCTAAAGCACACAACTTTACATCGAAAACGACTCACTTCTCATCTTCATGGCATCACTTTGACCCATTCATAACGTCCAGGCAAAGGATTGTCCGAGACAATGTCAAAGTTGTACCTGCAAAGCAAAACCATAACTCCCCCAAAATCAGACCAAACTCTAAAACTCAAAAGAATCAAACAAACTAAAAAATGGGATTTGTACTTTTTTTTTTTTTGAATAAAAATGGGATTTGTACTTTTGAATGAAGAATCTCTGTTGTTGCTCCTCTGCGTTAGCAAAGAAGTCTTCAATCTCACTTTGTATAGCTTTTGAGTCACTTATCATGCTCCTATGAGAGAACCAACATATCAAAACTCAATCTCTGTATCATAACAAAAAGTTTGGAGCTTTAAAATGAAAAACAGAGTTAAAAGTTACCTGTTTTCTGATTCCAAAGCAAAACCTTTATCTCCATAATTACAATCAGACCTAGATATTCTCTCATTATCACCACAAGCTTCTTCCGTCGTCGTCTCCGGCGCTAATTTCTTCGCCGGACCGGATTTAGCCCTAGGGTTTCTAGTTTGACATTGATTGACACACTGTGCGAGCTGTTGCTGCTGCTGTTTCCTGTTATTGGCGAGTAATGGAAGCTTCGGGAGACGGCGGTTTCGGAGTTGGAGGTAGTTTAAAGAGTCTAAGTCGTTGGAATGAGAGCGGAGACGGTAGAGGGCGAGGTTTTTGGCGGCGGCGGCTCTGGTACGGAAACCGAGAGTGGTTGGGTGAGATATATCCTTAACGGAAATGGCTCCGGCGACTTTTGACTTCTTAATGTATTTTCCCATCTCCGGGAAGGTGGTTTACTGAATCTCCGGTCGAGAGTGAAAGGAGGGAAACAATGAAGAAGAAGAAGAAAGTGATTTTTAATCTGAAAAAGTGAAAAACTAAAAGGACAATGAAATATTTATTTTAAAATAAAAATCAAATATTGAAAGAAAAGGAAAATATTAAAAAAAAAAAGACAAATTTGGCCATTCTAGCTTTACTAGTCACCATGTGGTGGGTTCGACCAACCCTGCAAAAAATTAGGGACAGATTTTTAAGGTTTTCTGCTCACCTGATTCATCATTGTATCAAAAAAATATAATCAAAATTTAATTAATCGGAATTTAATTTTGTGTACTAATTTTTGTATTCTATGCAAAAGTCTAGTTTACAAATAGATAAATAAATATATATATATGATTTTAATTTGAGTGAAATTAATTTTAAGAGACTTGATTTTTTCTAAAATGGTCTATATATATATATTCCCCTAGTTTCAAAAGATTTTACTTATTTTTCCCAAATTATATTTTTTATGTAATTTTTTCTTAGTTACTCCAAAGCCAAGGCTCCAAAGTAACATTAAATAATAGTCCTCATAAGATTAAGAAGAACATTTTTGGAGATATATATTCCAATTATTGTATACATTATATATATAAAGTGTTTTTTTTTTTTTAAAGGCGACCCCTCGTCTATTATGTGTGGTTGGTGCAGCAAATATAATAAAATGCTGCCGAAAGAAACAAGTTCTTTGAGAATAAAGATCATTAAGCTAATATTAATTGTTTTGGTAGACCATCCATGTTTATAAAGCCATTGTTCTCGAGTGGAATTGTTTTAATTATTTTTGTCAAATAATTTGTGGTTTAAGATAAAAAGGCAGTTCATTTTTGCATCCATTTTCATTGTTTCATTAAAATTTGGTAGACAAGTCAACGTTAACTTTGTACAAACAATCCAAAACAGTCCAAAACACATTCAGATTTTCAAATGTCATGATGCTCGGCAGGTTATTGGTTCGAAAGAAAAAAAGAGTCAACCATCTATTAAATTCTTCACATTTGACAAAAACGTACACATTAATTGTATACAAGTCAATACAGATACAATTGACTGTAATTTTTTTTGTTCTTAAGTAAACAAGTGTCTTAAAATTAACATCATTGGGTTGATCACTTACATAAGTATTTATTTTCTTTGGATTTATTAGCATTGGATGCTAGCTTACACTGATTTTGCTTCTAGTTATATATATAGTTATGTAATCATCTCAACAACCGTTATTTTTGTGATGTAATAGTTGAGATTATCTTTGATAAGTTAGTCTTTAAAAATTGACTTCTTGGTAAATTTGTCGAACAAATAAAGTTGTTTTGACTTCATGTTTACAATTACTCACGTCTAAATATAAAAATTCATTTTCTTTCACAAAAATCTATAGTTTATAGTATCTGAAATGTAAATGTAAAAGTCAATTTGGTTTTCTACATTTTTTTCTTTTTGTTAGTTACTTTGCCAAACACTGTCTCATTCTTTTTATTTATTTGAAACAAGAATCTTGATACGACTTAATTCTACCGCTACGTGAACATGATATCATTATCTAATATATATATTCAATGTAACTCGTGAAACAACAAGGTGAGTATCATCTATGCCATTTGGTTCGAAAGAAACAACAGACTTCACTCAAGTATCTCTTCAACTCCGCAAGAAATTTTCAAGAGAGTGGACAGGCAGATCAAGGATTCAAGTCTGGCTAGGAAAACTCACCAGGCCATTGGTGGCCTAATGCAAAATTGGCTCACTAATGAGTAATTTTCCCAATCTGATTTTGTTGTTGCTTTAGCTCTTTCTTGTTTTTTTCTTTTTTTGACAAGAAATAGCTATTAGGTAAATCTTTTGTATATTTTACAAACCCTTTCATTATTCTTTAATGATATTCAAATGCATATTAAAAAAAACAACAAGGTGAGTACTTTAAGCAGTTTTATATAACTGAGTAGAGACTCCCAATATCGAGAGGTTTTTTTTTTTGATCAATTTTTTTTGTTTTTGATCAAATATCGAGAGGTTTATTCATTATGACTTATGAGCAAGAAGATGAATTCCATTAAAATTCACAAGCTTGCGATAATTCTCATGATTTTTTGTTTGTTTTTGTTATCGAAGATGTCAAAGTGTCATTCTCAAGAATCATGATTTTATATGCTTCCAATCGCATGCATGACGAACGCAATTAGCAGTTTAAAGACCATAATAGTTTTTTTAAACCTGAACAAAAATTTCAAAACGCTGTAAACTAATTTAATCGTTGATACCAACAAAAAAAAAAGACTCCTAATTTAATCGTACAACGAAGGAAGGCACACGTGCAATGACTCTCAGCAATCATGAAACAGCTCAGATCTCGAACGCTACCGAATCCCCAAAAATCAGAGAAAAAGGCCAAAAGCAAAAAAAAAAATTAAAGGATCTGCAATAACACTCTTCACGTCCTCCCGCCCTTTTTTTCAGGGCGCCAAAAAAAAAAACTGTTATCACAACACGCGTGTACTGAAAAAACTTTTATTTTCTTTTATTTTTTAATAATAATAAAGTGTTTTTAAAAAGACAGAACCCGAGAAACGATTTCCGACGTAAGAGCAGTAATGGGTTCCACACTCCGACCAATCACATCGTAGCTGCCTCACACGCACTCAGAGGAGAGAATCTTTCACCTTGATGGGGTCCCTTGAATCCAGTTACTCTATTAGTCTATTAACTAGCCCTGGCATAAAAACCGAACCCGAAAAACCGAACCGAACCGAACCGAAAATATCCGAAATCTTCGGTTTCGGATATTGCTAAATAACCGAATGGTTCTCATCTCAACTATCCATGGATATCGGTTATTAACCGAACCGAACCGATATCCATGGATATCCATATTAAACCATACACATTTGACTAAAGAGGCCTACACCTGAACCCATTAAACCCAAACCCATTTCCCTTATCCCCTAAACTCATTAAGCCCAAATCATTTTTGCATTATACCCTTTTTGAAGTTTGAACTTTGTTATTTTGTTGCGGATTTGGATTTTGGAACTCTAGAGTATTGTTAGTTTGTTATGGATCTCTCTAAACTGAGCTTTGTAGACTCCTTTTTTAGATTTGCAACTTGAATTATTGCATTTTGAAGTTTTTGGTTCATATTTACATACATTATTAGTATGACAATATGTTTTTATTCGGGTAATAGTTCGGTTCTTTGGATAGTTCGGTTATTTGGTGGGTAAATATCCGAACCGAACCGAACCGAACCATATCCGAAGGTATTTCGGTTATCTTATGGTTCTCTTCTCAAGTATCCAAACCGAACCGAACCGAAAGCTAACCGAACCGAACCGAACCGAAAACAGTTCGGTTCCCTTATGGATCCCAAATGCCTAGAACCGAATAACCGAACCGAACCGAACCGAACAACCGAACGCCCATGGCTACTATTAACAATCCTTCAAGCAAAATATTGATACATAACAAAATAAAAAAGAGAAAAAAAAAAAAAAAGAAAGGCAGAAATAAATCAATATACCCTATTCTTAATTAGTTCATTGCTAATCTAATAGACATGATCTACACGCAAACATTGTGACTGATGATAGTGTAGATGATCTACACGAGGATAGAATCGGAATTTAATATTTGCAGACAACCATCCCCTTTCGGGTGGCAATATTTCTAATTAAAGATCCGACTCCCGTGACATTTATACATCAACGGTTCATATCCTTTGATTAAGATCTAACGTTCCAGGTTTCTCGTCTTGATAAATTCTGAGCCGTTGGATTAGAATCCAAAACAAAAATACGCAACTTTCTCCACTTATTTACTATTCTGCCACTTTCTCTAATTTATTAATTTTAAATTTTAATCTCTCGGCTACGAGTTTCTGGGTGATGATAATTAAGCTTTTTCTGCATTAATGGAAACTTGACACCTCTCTCTCTCTCTCACTCTTTCTCTTTGCTATTCATCTTTTACAGTTTCGTAAACTTATTCTCCAAAATATCCGATACTCTCGTCTTCTTGAGCTTCAATTTTTCATCCACAATTTGTTTTTCCCTCTTGAGGTAACTATTTCTTCTCTGTTCTTCTTATACATGTTTCAAATCCGGTTATTTGAGCTTGATGATGTTTGTGTGTGAAGATGTGTGTTAGTAGTTACTAGATCTACGGTGTTTTGAAAAAAATTTAGTAGATCTACGAGCTATTGAGTTTCTTCTTCGATTTTTTTCACTCTATAGCGACATCTTGGTTTCTGTGAGCTGTTGGCTAGGTTTAGTATTACTATTAAACCAGTTCTGGTTTTGGCTTATTTAGGATACAAATAAACCGGTTAAATGCAATCTACTCTAGAAATCTGATTTATATGGTTTAGATATTGAATTTTGGTTGAAAGTGAATACGTGACTCTTTCTCTTGGTAATTTAATTTAGGTTCTGTAAAGTAAGTGGAACATTTCTCCCTTGTGCAGATCATGGCTCAAGCTCAAGCTAGGAGGTTTGGGAATGATGAAGTTGCTGTGTTTCAGGATAGTGAAAACTGTCCCTTCTCTATTACCAAGAAAATGACTGTGGGTGACATTCTAGCTAATATTCTGAGTAATCTTCGTCCGGCTAATATTCAGAGACTTTGCGCGCCGATGTTGGTGTACAGTGGAAACAAACATATTTACAGGAAAGCCGAGCATGATAGTATTAAAGAGCAGGGATTCAGATTCCTTGAAGCTTCTCTCAGAAGACGCCCATGCGCGCGCAAGTATTGTCGCAATATTGAACAGCCAGGAGAGGTTGAACCGGATCTTTATGAGAGATCGTTCAATGTTGTTGATTCCCTTCTTATCGAAGAAATGTTGGGTGAGGCTCTTCTAGGCAACTTACCACCCAACGTACTTCTCATTTCAACCGACCAAGATTTCCACCTAGCTACACAGTCTCTACATGCTACAAAAAGGTACAACATCTTTGTGGCGAGGAAGAGGAACACCGATGGTAGTTTGCCTGCTGCTCCAAGTGCTTATGGTACATGGGAATGGGCTAGAATGCAGAAGCCTGGAGCACCAGTGCAAGTGGTTATTAGAAACAAGAACATATGAGCCCCAAATCTTCTCTGTAGTGATTTCGTTTTATGAAACAGTTAATCTTGTAGTTTGCTAATCATTGTGAGACAGTTTGCTCTTCTTGTTTTTGATGCAATTTGAACATTTGAGATTCTTTTCCGCCACTGGAAAGAATGAGAAATAACAATCAAGATTTCATATTTCTGTTCATGAACTGAGCTGTGATAGAGACGCATCAATCTGAATCTGGAAACTTAACAAAAGAATTAGGTTTCTGTAGAGAAATCTTGATGATCTTTTACAATTTTGCAACAGATAAACGGAGTGTACAACAAATGAAGGTAATAATTGTTTTATGTTCCAAGGCACATTACTTTTGTACAAGAAAGTAGATACGAATTAACCATAAAATTCTGACAGAAACAAATCAATATACCCTATTCTTAATTAGTTCATTGCTAATCTAATAGACATGATCTACACGCAAACATTGTGACTGATGATAGTGTAGATGATCTACACGAGGATAGAATCGGAATTTAATATTTGCAGACAACCATCCCCTTTCGGGTGGCAATATTTCTAATTAAAGATCCGACTCCCGTGACATTTATACATCAACGGTTCATATCCTTTGATTAAGATCTAACGTTTCAGGTTTCTCGTCTTGATAAATTCTGAGCAGTTACTCTATTAGCAAATCCTTCAAGCAAAATACTGATATTAAAAAAAATAAACTACACGAAACCAAGCTTTTACATGCATCAATTGTTTTAAAAAATCAAACTGTTTTCGCATTTAAATGGCTAAGCCTATTCACTTCGGATAAATAATCCGATAATAAAAGAAAAGAATCGAATAAGCGTATTTAAAATATCAAAATTATCATTCAAAGTGTATATAATAAAAATGTCGAATAATATGGGTAGCAGATGATTGTGTATTATATAATCCGAATAACTAAAATTACTACTCAAATAGGTAATCCACGTTTCAATATTTTGGGTAATGGTTGTTTTTAAAAATATTTTAGATAAATTTGAATATTTATAAGAATTTATACATAATTTTAGATATATATAGTTTACCATTTTAATTATCCTAACAGATAATTCGACTAATTACCTGATTTGTAACCATTGTATTCAATGATCTTGACTCAAATGGATAATTTCGTTTTACCTGTTTTTTTTTTTGCTGTGTTTAGTGGTTTCTTTAAACTAAGAATTAATAGTTTTTATACAAATGAAGTAATCAAAAAACCACATTTTAGGTAATATAAACAAAAGAGTTGACTTAACAATCACAATTGACTCCATACCGAGAATAGTAGGATGCTCCGTGAGTAAGCAATCCTGAATTCCGGATCATGATGGAAAACGATGACAGAAGAAAAGAGATTAGTCACTAAACCAAAACCAAGTAACCAGACCCGAAATGTATAGATTATAGACCATAATAGAAAGTTCATTTTTAAAACATAAAATATTTTCAGTTCTTTGTAGAATATTGTTGCAATAATCAATAATAACACACATACGCAAACACCAAATGCAAACATAATGTAATATTTTTTTTTTTGTTTCCTTCTTACGCTCACAAATAACAAATAAACTTTGTTTAGATGTTAAAACCATAGACTTATCAGAAGATATAAATACAATAACAAACGCAAACATAAAGCGAAAGCATATGCATTGATACTTGACTGCTATTTCATTCTGTGCTTGATGACTCATTAGAAGAACCCCGAGGCCCTTCCTCGCCCTCATCTGTATCCATGGCTTCAGTTGAGATATCCGAGGGTCCGAGAAGGATACCGATAGAATTGAAATTGATCAGAACCTGAGGAGCCCTCGCGAGCTCAAGCCTGTGGTCAGGAGTGTGTTGCTGGTTGAATCTCCCTGGAACTTTCGAAGGAGTCTCGTAACAGTCTTTGCAAAGGTCATACCCAATTTCCTCCTTGCAGTCTTTGCATCTGTATCGATCCCCTATGATTGGATACACCTGTAGCAAACCACACCAATGTCAAATTACGATTCACATATTTTGGTTTCACTACTAACAATCGGGTAAAGATAATAATGCACTTACTCCACAAGAATCACAACCAGCTCCAAAGTGAACATTTGATCCAGGGTTTGCCAACCAGGGAAGATCATCGTTGTTGTCGTTTGATAACGATGGGCCTTCTTTGAGATGGCTTTGAAAATCTATGTATCAAGAGAAAATGAGTACAAACTATGAGTCTCTGCGTCCAAATGGGTCTCACATATTCTGTGTAACAACAACTAAGCTTTGAGAGCACAAGGACGTGACATGTGTCGATAACTACAAAATGGTTCAAGGCATGAATGTAGGACTTACTTCCTTTGCTATTATGGGCAAGCCTTTTCTGAACCCCGCTTGTCCTTGATTTGTATTCTTCAGGAAAATTTTCCTCCAAAAGCTGTTCAAGAATCAAACAAACTTTTGGAAATCCTCTTGGGTCACAAACATTACACTCTAGACATTTGATCTTTTCGCTTTCTTCAGCCATATCTACTACACATCCTTCACAATACACTGGAAAAAGATAAAACAGGAAATTACCACAAGAAAATATAAAAGCGAATTCTCAAGCAGGCGAAAGTCAAAATATTTATCGAAAACAAACATGTAAGATAATATACCATGTCCGCAATTGAGAACTACAGGTCGCACAAGTAGCTCCTTACATGCTGAACAGAGCAAATCATCTTTCGAAATCTGATTACTGACTTTGATATTCTTAGGTAATTCATTCTCATGAACATTAAGAGTTTGTGCATCTGTGGGTTCTTGATTGCTGGGGATACATGGACTGCCACCTCTACTTGATGAACTAGATAAGAAGTTCGCTGCATTCGAACCCTCATCCACCTTCTGTTTATCTACACACATAAAATTGTAAGCAGAAAGCAATTTACTAGACAGAAAAAGTTTAAATTCAGCAGAAAAATGTGTGGAACACTCACCAGAGACATTTAGAGAAACTCCACTACACACAGACACATCCTTAACCTTAGGTTCATCCAAAACAACATCAATCTGAGGAGAAAAACAATCTAGTTCTTCTTCTTCCTCTGAAACATGATATTAAACAAATCTATAATCAACAAAAGTGACAACCTAAAAAATGACACTTGCACAGGAGATGTAAGCAGAGGACTCACTTAGAACTTGTTCTTCTCTCTTCTTATGCGCTAATGGGTACATCTTCTTCAGTAGAAAATGAAGCTTCTGGCACACAGACGGAAAGTGAACATACGGGTCTCTACATATCGGACAATGAGACTCGCGAAAGCCATTCATGGACTTATGTACACACCAAAAACATGATAGATGACCACAAGCTTCATTGCCATACAAAAGAAAAGTCATAAAAAAAAACAAAGGAAAGAAAAAATAGTTGAGATTCTCTTATGACTTAGTCAACAACTTACATAACACAATTGGCTTGTAAAGAAGTTCCCTGCACAAGAAGCAACCACAAAATTCGTATAAACATATTTGCCATCACAATCGATGCCATAAAAGACGATAAACGAACAGATTCTTCAATTGAAAACGATGAATGAGCCATAAGATTATGATTACACATGAGATTCTTAAAAATTGTAGAGACAAAACGAAATCAATTATAGACCAATCTCGATATCGTCAGAACAACGGAAACAATTGCATCATGAGATTTTTCGAATTAGCTACTCTAATCATTCAAATTTCCCCCAAAATTAACCTAAAACACTGAGAAAATTGATAGAGAAGAGCTTCTTCGTGTGATTCAAAAACGCTTACAGGCAAACGCAGCAGAGAAATTGATCGGGGATTTCTTCTTCGTGTGATTCATTGTTCTTCACCGTAATATCGTTCATAGGTTGGGCCATTGTTATCAGAAAAGAAGAGAGAGAGAGAGAGAGAGAAAGAGAGATCTGAGATTTATGAAACGGTGGTGGCGATAGCTTTTGCTTTTGCTTTTGCGGCAAGGGCCAATATCCACCGCCGTACTTTTTTTTTTTTTTTCTTTTATAAATTAATTTATAATTACTACTATAAGCAAAAAAAACCTTGAAAAAAGAATTCTTTCATGCATATTTTATTTGCCAATTTTCCTTTCATGCATTACTATATTTTTGATACATAACAAAATAAAGTAATAAACTACACGAAACCAAGCTTTTGCATGCATCAATTGTTTCAAAAAATCAAACTGTTTTAGCATTTAAATGGCTAAGCCTATTCACTTCGGATAAATAATCCGATATAAAGGAAAATAATCGAATATGCTTATTTCAAATATCAAAATTATCATTCAAAGTGTATATAATAAAAATGTTGAATAATATGGGTAGCAGATGATTGTGTATTATATAATCCGAATAATTAAAATTACTACTCAAATAGGTAATCAACGTTTCGATATTTTAGGTAATGGTTGTTTTTGAAAATATTTTAGATAAATTTGAATAATTATAAGAATTTACACATAATTTTTTCATATATATAGATTACCATTTTGATTATCCTAACAGATAATTCGGCTAATTACATGATTTGTAACTATTGTATTCAGTGATCTTGACTCAAATGGATAATTTCGTTTTACCCCTTTTTTTTTTTGCTGTGTTTAGTGGTTTCTTTAATCTAAGAATTACTGTAATAGTTTTGTACAAATGAAGTAATAAAAATAAACCACATTTTACAGGTAATATAAACAAAAGAGGTGACTTAACAACCACAATTGACTCCATACCGAGAATAGTAGGATGCTCCGTGAGTAAGCAATCCTGAATTCCCGATCATGATGGAAGACGATGACAAAAGAAAAGAGATTAGTCACTAAACCAAAACCAAGTAACCAGACCCGAAATGTATAGATTATAGACCATAATAGAAAGTTCATTTTTAAAACATAAAATATTTTCAGTTCTTTGTAGAATATTGTTGCAATAATCAATAATAACACACATACGCAAACACCAAATGCAAACATAATGTAATATTTTTTTTTGTTTCCTTCTAATTACGCTCACAAATAACAAATAAACTTTGTTTAGATGTTAAAACCATAGACTTATCAGAAGATATAGATACAATAACAAACGCAAACACAAAGCGAAAGCATATGCATTAATACTTGACTGTTATTTCATTCTGTGCTTGATGACTCATTAGAAGAACCCCGAGGCCCTTCCTCGCCCTCATCTGTATCCATGGCTTCAGTTGAGATATCCGAGGGTCCGAGAAGGATACCGATAGAATTGAAATTGATCAGAACCTGAGGAGCCCTCGCGAGCTCAAGCCTGTGGTCAGGAGTGTGCTGCTGGTTGAATCTCCCTGGAACTTTCGAAGGAGTCTCGTAACAGTCTTTGCAAAGGTCATACCCAATTTCCTCCTTGCAGTCTTTGCATCTGTATCGATCCCCTATGATTGGATACACCTGTAGCAAACCGCACCAATGTCAAATTACGATTCACATATTTTGGTTTCACTACTAACAATCGGGTTAAGATAATAATGCACTTACTCCACAAGAATCACAACCAGCTCCAAAGTGAACATTTGATCCAGGGTTTGCCAACCAGGGAAGATCATCGTTGTTGTCGTTTGATAACGATGGGCCTTCTTTGAGATGGCTTTGAAAATCTATATATCAAGAGAAAATGAGTACAAACTATGAGTCTCTGCGTCCAAATGGGTCTCACATATTCTGTGTAACAACAACAACTAAGCTTTGAGAGCACAAGGACGTGACATGTGTCGATAACTACAAAATGGTTCAAGGCATGAATGTAGGACTTACTTCCTTTGCTATTATGGGCAAGCCTTTTCTGAACCCCGCTTGTCCTTGATTTGTATTCTTCAGGAAAATTTTCCTCCAAAAGCTGTTCAAGAATCAAACAAACTTTTGGAAATCCTCTTGGGTCACAAACATTACACTCTAGACATTTGATCTTTTCGCTTTCTTCAGCCATATCTACTACACATCCTTCACAATACACTGGAAAAAGATAAAACAGGAAATTACCACAAGAAAATATAAAAGCGAATTCTCAAGCAGGCGAAAGTCAAAATATTTATCGAAAACAAACATGTAAGATAATATACCATGTCCGCAATTGAGAACTACGGGTCGCACAAGTAGCTCCTTACATGCTGAACAGAGCAAATCATCTTTCGAAATCTGATTACTGACTTTGTTATTCTTAGGTAATTCATTCTCATGAACATTAAGAGTTTGTGCATCTGTGGGTTCTTGATTGCTGGGGATACATGGACTGCCACCTCTACTTGATGAACTAGATAATAAGTTCGCTGCATTCGAACCCTCATCCACCTTCTGTTTATCTACACACATAAAATTGTAAGCAGAAAGCAATTTACTAGACAGAAAAAGTTTAAATTCAGCAGAAAAATGTGTGGAACACTCACCAGAGACATTTAGAGAAACTCCACTACACACAGACACATCCTTAACCTTAGGTTCATCCAAAACAACATCAATCTGAGGAGAAAAACAATCTAGTTCTTCTTCTTCCTCTGAAACATGATATTAAACAAATCTATAATCAACAAAAGTGACAACCTAAAAAAAGACACTTGCACAGGAGATTTAAGCAGAGGACTCACTTAGAACTTGTTCTTCTCTCTTCTTATGCGCTAATGGGTACATCTTCTTCAGTAGAAAATGAAGCTTCTGGCACACAGACGGAAAGTGAACATACGGGTCTCTACATATCGGACAATGAGACTCGCGAAAGCCATTCATGGAGTTATGTACACACCAAAAACATGATAGATGACCACAAGCTTCATTGCCATACAAAAGAAAAGTCATTAAACAAAAAAAAAAAAAAAACAAAGAGAAAGAAATAGGTTAGATTCTCTTATGACCTAGTCAACAACTTACATAACACAATTGGCTTGTAAAGAAGTTCCCTGCACAAGAAGCAACCACAAAATTCGTATAAACATATTTGCCATCACAATCGATGCCATAAAAGACGATAAACGAACAGATTCTTCAATTGAAAACGATGAATGAGCCATAAGATTATGATTACACATGAGATTCTTAAAAATTGTAGAGACAAAACGAAATCAATTATAGACCAATCTCGATATCGTCAGAACAACGGAAACAATTGCATCATGAGATTTTTCGAATTAGCTACTCTAATCATTCAAATTTCCCCCAAAATTAACCTAAAACACTGAGAAAATTGATAGAGAAGAGCTTCTTCGTGTGATTCAAAAACGCTTACAGGCAAACGCAGCAGAGAAATTGATCGGGGATTTCTTCTTCGTGTGATTCATTGTTCTTCACCGTAATATCGTTCATAGGTTGGGCCATTGTTATCAGAAAAGAAGAGAGAGAGAGAGAGAGAAAGAGAGATCTGAGATTTATGAAACGGTGGTGGCGATAGCTTTTGCTTTTGCGGCAAGGGCCAATATCCACCGCCGTACTTTTTTTTTCTTTTATAAATTAATTTATAATTTTACTACTATAAGCAAAAAAAAACCTTGAAAGAAAGAATTCTTTCATGCATATTTTATTGCCAATTTTCCTTTTCATGCATTACTATATTCTTGAGAGATATTAGGGAATTAGAGATGTTGTTTCATGCCATATATGGGATTTATACATTATTAATGTTTCTTACATATTTTAAAAAAGGACTACAAAATCTACCACTTATTCCCAATTTCTTTCAAAATCTACCACATTCCTTCACTTCTTTCAACTCATACCACATTTTGATGTAGAGTTACCATTTTGCCCTCCCTTTTTATCTTTCTTTTTATCTTTCCTCCCTAATTATTTCTCCTCCCTATTTATCTCTCCTCTCTATTTATCTTCCCTACAACATTAGCTTCTCTATTTATCTCTCTCTCCCTCGAAACACGTGCACTTTAACCAAGAAACATTATATCTCCTGAGACTAAACAATTAACTTTCGTTTTTGTCTCCAGATCTTGTCCCCAATTGGAAATTCTCTGTTGCGTCTAGATCTTGTCCCCGATTTCATCATCTTGCTCTATTATCATGAATTCCACATCTTGTCCACCAATTGTTCTCATTTAAGGGTTTCGAATTTTATTTAGATTTTTCACCATCTATTTTGGTCCACAGATTAGTTGAGCATTATTGTCTTCACCTACCCTGATTATTGAATTTTTTTTCCTTCTATTGCAAAATAACAAAAAGATCTAGTTGTCCCCGAGTACTATTACTTATTCTATTACTCATTCGATATGAACTTGTCCCCGATCTAATTATATTACTCATTCGATATGAACTTGTTCCCGATCAAATTATATTACTCATTCGATCTGAACTTGTCCCCGATCTAATTCTATTACCCATTCGATCTGAACTTGTCCTCGATCTATATCTATTACCCATTCGATCTGAATTTGTCCCCGATCTAATTCTCTTACTCATTCGATCTGAACTTGTCCCCGATATAACATATTCGATCTGATTCTCTTACTCATTCGATCTGAACTTGTCTCCGATCTAATTCTATTACCCATTCCATCTGAATTCGATATGAACGTGTCCCCGATCTAATTCTATTACTCATTCGATATGAACTTGTCCCCGATCCAATTCTATTACCCATTCGATCTGAACTTGTCCTCGATCTAATTATATCACCCATTCGATCTGAATTTGTCCATGATCTAATTATATTACTCATTAGATCTGAATTTGTCCATGATATAACATATTATTTAAATAACCGTGCAACATTTATTGCAGACCTGCTCCTTCTTTGGAAGCGCCAGACAAAACTGTCTCTGTCTCTGACACAGACTCTGTCCCTGACACAGACTCTGTCCCAATCAGGGGTATTTTGGTCCAGCATTCCACATGTGCTATTGAAATATGGTAGATTTTGAAAGCTTTTTTAGATTGTGATAGATTTTGAATGCCAGTTGTTAAAATGTGGTAGATTTTGCAATATTCTCTTTAAAAAACTGGAAATTGTTATTTTATCGTTGAAAATTGTTTATGGTGGGTGTTTAATTCAAGTGGATAGTAGATAGTTATACATCACAAATTGTGACTTATTATATTTTATATTAGGATTTGACCCGCGTGATAATATTTTACTTTTACATATAATGATGTTAGTTTTCTAATTTAATATTAAATTATATAATTTAAATTTTTTTAATATTTATTAGATTTAACCTGTAATACATGAGTTTTTTGAAAAAAGATTAACACTATCATACCCCGTAGTTCAGACTAACCAATCTAACCCGTCTCACGTCACTCTCACCATATGATATTCTTAAAGTTTTTTACAAAATAATTTATTTTGTCACATATGAATAATATATTTTTTAGCAAGGTAAATTATAACTTTTACCACTAATTATTTTATTAAAATCCAATTTACAACAACCACCCAAGTATCTTGAGAGTTACATCACATTTCACAAACTATGATCTCCCACTACAAAGTCTACAATGTGTCAATTTCCCTAAAACATGGGTTGCTTTCGAACGAGCAGGCCTAGCCCAAACAAAGTGGGCAGAAATGCATTTACGGCCCATCATTACAACACTAATGAGTTTGTCTCTCTATTCTTAGAACATCTCCAACTCAAAAAATCGGTGAGAGTTTCTCGTTCTCTTTCCACTTTTTTCATTACTTTTTATTTTTTAATCTTTAAATACTCATTGAGAGACTGCCGCTGTGCATGGTTTTAGGCCCTATCTTTATTTTATTTATGCAGTTTAGAAGAGATATGTTCGATTAATTTAGATGAAATACGTTGATAAAAAAAAGACGTTAAACAAATCATAAGGGCAATTTTAAATAAATTCATTAATTATGGAGGAATTTATAACCCAAAAGTAAAATAAATGGAAGAAACATAAGTTGTGAGTTGTTGGGTCATCTTAATATATAAATGTCTACATTTGCGAATTAACTTATCTAGTAGGACTTGAGTCCCACTGAATTGCATCCTGATCTTTCTTGGATCGATTTTGTAGCAAATGGTTAGGGCCGGTATTGGAGGAGTTTGAGGATGCACCAAGAAAGCTCAAGGCTGTGATAACGTCGCTCATTAGTGGTCTAACCGTAGGTTCTTCATGCAGGCACATTGCCGCTACAGCTATAGCTTGGTTAAAACTCTTTTCCGGGTAGTCACCTCGAAGCAGTGGATCAGCTAGCTGCCAATATCTAGTCGGATCTCTAAATATCGGTTGTGCCTAAACCAAAGTTGTAGATTGTTAAATAGTGTCTACATTGATAAGTCGTTACTGAAATCATATATGCTAATAAGGTACTCACCCAAGTGACTAGATTTTGCTCATGACTAGGTCTCATTGTGTCGATAACTCGTCTTCCGGATACAAGTTCCAACAACACAACTCCAAAGCTATAGACATCTGATTTATTTGTAAGATAGCCGGTTCTTTGATATTCAGGAGCACAATAACCATAAGTTCCCATAACTCGGGAAGACACATGTAATGTGTCTCCAACAGGACCAAGCTTTGCTAAACCGAAATCCGATAATTTTGCAACGTATTTTGGGTCAAGCAATATATTTGACGATTTAAGATCTCGGTAAATCACTGGAGGATCGGCCTCATCATGGAGATACTCAATTCCTTTTGCCGCTCCTATAGCGATCTTAATACGAGTGTTCCAGTCTAGTGGTTTTTGTCCCGGCTCAAGATCTGTTTTAAAGTAAACATCAAACCGGTTCTAGTTATATTTTTTTGGTTACTTTTTTAAAAAATGATAATGTTGATTGAGAAATGATGATTTACCGAGGAGATGATCTTCGAGAGATCCAAGGGGCATATACTCGTAAACAAGAAGTCTTTGGTCTCCATCGGCGCAATAACCGATAAGATTCACAAGATTTGTATGATGAAGAAGACTAAGCATCAAAACCTCGACCAAGAACTCTCTTTGTCCTTGTAATCCATTCCTATCAAGTTGTTTCACTGCCACGACCTGATCATATATCACAACCCCAAACAAAAAAAAACAAAACAAATGAGTTTGACACTATTTCTATCGTATGACAAAAACATTTTTTCTTATTTTTTAATAACCGGTTAATACTAGATAGAAATTTACTAATTTAGACTAATCGAAAATATTGTTCCACAAGTTTATAGATTTTACCTGTGCCGGATTCTCGAGCTTTCCTTTGTAAACCCGCCCGAACCCGCCTTCACCAATGAGGCACTCTTGTCGAAAATTCCTTGTCGCGGTGGCTAACTCACGGAACGAGAAAATCCGTGCCCCCATGTTGTTTGATGGCCCGTTTGCGTTCTTAGCTACCACTTCTCCTGTTGTTCTCTCTGTTTGAAAGAAACATAACATAATTTTCTTAAAAGAATTTAGACAAATAATTACAAACGTTCACATTTCCAAGAATAATGTAGGAGAGCTTACTAGGTGAGTTTGGTTGCTTATAAGGAGCAGGCATCGAAGAACCTTCATTGTCCAGAACTTTTGAAGAGAAGCACGAGAAACAACTCATTTTCTGAAGATTTTCTTGTTTCGTCTGAAACTTCTCCTACTAACAAATAATATAGGAAAATATCTCTCAAAACTTTTGATAGGTTTTATACAAAGAGCATAGAAATTACCCAACAGTCCTATAAAAACCAGAAACAGTTTAAGGTTTTGCTGTTTTATGTAGAGTTTAATAGGTTATAACAGAACGAAAAGAAGAAGAAAAAAGAGAGAGAGGTATTTGAAAAGAAACAATATTGAGAAAGACAACCTCAAAGAAACTAATTTGACAGAATTGTTGGCTACCTTTTCCATTTATAAACAAAAGATTATTTGGCCAATTTAAGAAAAAAATAAAGAAAAAAATATAATTTTAATTACCATTTATGTTAATGACCTGTCGACAGAAAAATCATGTTTCTTTGTAGATTTGTTTCCTATCTGGTTATTTTTTTGTGTTTATGAGGTGGCTTATATAAAGACATAAATCTGATAGATAGCTAACTCATAAATAATTCATACCTGGTCAAATTTGAAAGTGAACAATGAACATGCATGTAACTAAAAATTAATTTTGGATTTAGTCCTATTATCCAAGATATTTATGGGAATAACAATTTTTTTCTCAGTTTACCCAAGACAGCTAGATAACGGTTTTGGATAGATTAATTGAATTTGGGCAGAATTGGACGGATAAAACATAGTGGTTTTTTGTTGGATTTTTAAACCAGTATATGGACTGAGTGGAGGAAAAAAGAAAAGCTAAATTAAAAAAAAACCAACTGTAAGAGCATTCACTGAAACATTTTTCTCTCGATTGACATGTCCCAACGAATATTTGCGGTAGTTTTTACATTCATTACCGAATATCGTAGAAGAGTGTATGTAGAAAATGTGATTTATTAGTTGTGAAACGATATTTTTGCTAAAATAAATATATTTTAGCAGTAATCATTTTTGAAATTCAAAGTGCCCCATTTTCAGGAAGGTTAATATTAATATATAATTTTTATAAACAATCCTCTAATATAAGATTATGAAAATTGAATATTGCGTTTTGCTTCTTTTTTTGCTGATTGGTAGCTCGAGTTGTGTGTATATACATATATATTTAGAGCCCCCATTGTCTGTTGATCAATTAGAGAGACATGACAATGTTGAAAAGACAAGACAATTAGGACCAATGCTTGGAGGTACGTTCTCCCTACTTCTCCTTATCGGATTCTTGCTTACTAGAAGCCCGTGTATTTAGATGGATTGCTTTATTGGTTAACCGAGTGTCAAGAAAACAAAGTGTTATCTTTTGATCTTCACAAGGAAACTTTTCAACTCTTCTCTAAAGCTCTCGTTGCTCCTGTTTGTGACCCTTACAATGTCATCATGTGCATTCTTGATAACCACTTGTGCATATCCAAAAAAATTTGGCCTACGCAAGTCATATGGTCATTCGATTCTAACAAGATATGGAAGAAAATGTGTTCCATAGATCTCACCAAGACTATTTCTTGGGTCGGAGAATCTGAATCCGAATACGCGCTCTTCCCCGTAGCGATTCTTAAGAAGAATAAGTTATTACTTCATGGTCGTGAATACTTGCAACCGCTGTTGATACATGATCTCCTTATTAAATATTAGGATTTAGTCTTCACACCTACCACAGCCGGACATTGTGTTAATTATTTCAAAAGTTTACTATCTGTTTTATCAAATTAATTCTTCTTATTTTCTTTATACCAATGAACCATTTGTAATTTAACAATTTTTTGTATTATAACGTTACTTCATCCCACTTGCGCGATAGTAGAATATTATATATGATAACATGGCGTTTTTGCCCATTTTAGCTATTGTTTTCTTATGTTTTAGAAAGCATTTGTATTGATTTCAAAGTCAAGAAGATGATATTCAAGTATTTATGGAGTCAATAAAGTTTTAAGAGTTTTGACTCCAAAATTTTGGAGAATCATGCTCTCAAAAACTCCTCATATATGAAGGTAATGGTGTTCGTAAGGATGATGAGGAAGATGTAGACAAGATTTTGAGACCCTTCGATGGTACATCATCTAATTTAGAAGTCATTAGCAGTCACGAGGGAAAGTCTACCGAATGATGCTCTCAACAGTTTAAGCTACTCAAAAGGGAAGATATTGTTGATAAGGGTTAGACTAGTGAAGAGGAAGACAAACTTTTGAGACTCTGTGAAGTTGAATTAGATTTGCAAATTATAAGCAGTCTTATGGGAAGATCTGTAGTTTGTTGCTTAGAAAAGTTAAAGATGTTTGGATGAGAAGAGAAAGTGGAGTATTCCATACCGGGGGAGAGAAAAACCAAGATATATTTCATATGCCCTCCAAGTAAACGTGGATTTGTTAAAGACAAGAAAACCATTCCAATAATTAGTAGGGATAATGGCTACAAATTATAGTGTGTATTGCATCACATAAATAGTATCACAAAATTAAATGATACTATTTTAAATTACATGTTAACAAGTGATACAAATTTTTTGCTTTAACATCAATTATAATAACTAATATAATCTTTGATTTGTTTTACGTCGGGTTGATAAAATTGATACGAATCTATATTGGTTACAATGAACATGGTTTCAGTTTAACTTTGGTCATGTTTGTACAAGGTTTGTACCACATGGTCTTAATGTCAATAATACATGTTGCAGTTAATAACATTGCTCACCCAAACGGTAACCAATTTGCTTAAAATCACAATACAAAGACTAAGATCTAACACTTATAAAACAATTCTATCTAGACTTCTAGAAAGATAACAAGTTTATTTCCTATAACCTAGCTGGACATGAAAATTCCTAGCTAATGTATTTTTCAGCCACACACTACTCCTAAATAGCCTTGAAAACGTTAACCAGAAAAAAGTGGCTTTTTTTATAGACACATGTTGTTGCTTATTTGATTCTGCTCCGGAGCATGAACTCTCTCTTGAGACAATTACAATGAGGACTTTATTTATGGTTAGCAAATCTATGAAATCAACATTTTGTCATCGTCTGAAAAAAGGAGTATGTTAAAACATCTATTGGACATCGCAAATTAGTGCGAGGGAACAAAGATTAAATAGACGCAAGACTAAGCAAATTATTTTCCGAAACTGTTTCGTATAAAAGTATCTATCCTATGGACTAGGACTGGGCATAAATACTCGTTACTTGCCTCGTACCCGCTACTTGCCTCGTACTCGCCTAAAAAAAATTAGAACTTTGAATGTTTTGAGATTTATATTGTATGAGATTGTTTTTATATTCAAGTATTTTATTTCAAGTATCATGTATCTTACAAGTAACAAGCGGGATCAAATTATTTTACAAGTAACAAGACAAGGCAAGTTACTTGCAAGTAATCAGATTTTAGACGTTGCTTCGGACAAGGCAAGTATCAAGTCCAAAAATCAATTACTTGAATGGGCCAAGGTGGGTCACAAGTAATTGAAAATTAGCAAGTACTTGCCTTGTGTCCAGGCCTACTATGGACGCGGTCGTGAGTTTCCATCTCTGCCAACATTGTCTTGGCCGAGTCATTCAATGTTTCCGTCAAGGAGACAAAGATCCAACAATTAAGATGATAAGTTAAACCCTATTTTGTATACTAGTACTAAAGATCCAAGATAAGAAAATGAGGACAGTGTGTTGGTAGTAAATATTGATGCGTGTGATTTTTTTGCTTCAATCTTTTACCTAAAAAGATCACACGACTGCTGCAAGTGCACAACGATCACATGTAGTACTCAAGGATACAAATTCCACAGAGAAAGAAGATGTTTAATTGAATTCGTCAGAAAAAAGTAAAGCTAGGATGAATCAATAAAAAGGGGTTTTGTTGTTAGTTTCACGGTTGCAAAATAAAGTAAATAAGAAAGCTTGTAAAAACGTAAGTGTTACGAGTAAAATTACCTATAAAAGTTTTACCCTTAATATAGACCGAAAGTGCACAGATAATCTTTGCAAATCTTTTGCATGTTGTGTTAAGATTCTAAGTGATCATAAAATCAAATTTCTATTATTAATTATCCTATGGTTAAGTGATAATTCTATGACGGGGCTTCATGCCTCCATAAGTTTGGGCACTGCTCCTTTCTTATGAAATAAAAAACAATCACGCATTTTAGAACATAATCTAATAAATTCTACAAAACGAATAACTACACGAGGCGTTATGTGGTTCGTTAGGAATTTTTTCCCTTTTTTTAGATAGATCCACCTCATCCAAACCATGGTTAGGCTAGACAAGATTATGGGCAATAGGAGAATACTGTAGATTCAGGCTAAGGCTATAAGAACAACCTAAAGGCGGAGAACAAGTAGAAAACATAACAGGGACCACTACACTTAAAGCCATCAAATACATCTCTATGGAGATTCCCAACTGTCGACAAAATCGAATGGTACCGATCAGTGGGATCATGCCTTACCGATCAGTAATATTCCATGATATGACTACTCACACATGACCAAGGTACACATATCTATGCGGCTATAGAATGAAGGACTATTTATAGGAGATGTGACGCAACCCTAATTTAGAGAAAAAGGTGGTTTAAACAAAAGCCCACCGATCGGTAGATAGGCCCAACCGATCGGTGGCCTAAGTGATTCTTCATTGGTCGGTGCAAATCTCTACCGAACGATACTCTTAATGGATCTTCTCTTCTTTTGCTGTATTTTGGCCCATTTAATCTTTAATATGCTCTCTTCTGCTCCGCAGGTCCAAATTCCTAAAAAGACTTATTTACACCGAGAATGACTTGCTCCAAGATAAAAGACTCGATAAAATAGATAAAACAAAACTATAAAATGTGTTAAAAATATCACTTAACAATAAGTAAATCAATAAGAGACAAACGTTGGGCATTAAAGGGATCGCATGGGGTTCAGTGATCTTTCTAACTAGGTAATACTAAGGTTAGGTTTGTTTATTTCCAAGTTTCAGACATACAAAACACTAATGATCGACTAACCCTAGGCTATAGATGAAAGTCGGTTAAAATCCTTATACTCCGTTACTCAATTATCGCAGGCAAAGAGGCATATATCAAAGCAATAAGATCAAGTTCGATTCTAGTCCATAAAACCCTATAACTCAACTTCTGCAGGTTATAACACAATACACATTCGTAAGCTAGGTTCGAGTATACTAAACAACTTTTCGTGAGATTTAGACACTTGAGATCAAGAGTTAGTTCATGATGCTAACTAAAAGCATTAAGAGAAATCTTCACTAGAAAGAATACAATATAAATGATCAAACCAAACCCTAAATATCGCCACTTAAATGGTCGATCATGACCCCCATTTGATTAGCCCTTTAAACCCAACTAGAAAACTACTCTAGCATAGTTAAGGAACTCATCAAAGTTAGGTTTGATAAACTCATAAAAATAAGCTGAATAATAACTGATTAGGGTTTAGAGATTACTTCTTCAATAGTTGAATACAAGAGGTAAGACTTCACCTTAGTAGATCTTAGAGTAAACAAGAGAAAGAGAAAGGAATTGGTGTCTTCAAAGCTTCGGATCAAGGAGATGGTGGCTGAAGATTCAAGAGCGTCTTGAGAAGCACTTCTTCTGTAATACTTAAACGGCACACGCTTCTAGGGTTTTACAACAAGTATTTATAGGTTTTGGGGAGTAGAAGTCAGTTTAGGATTTTTTGGACAAAACTACATAGTTTCATTAATGTGAAGGGACGAGATGGCTTAGACTGGGTGCATGGCTTCTAACCGTGCTCCACACAAGGTTCCATACCGGTCATGAACTTTTTGACCGGTCCCCACAGGGACTTCACCACCGGTCGCATGCCTTGCGACTAGTCCAGGGGCGGACCCACTTAGAGAGTAGGTGGGTCACCTGACCCGGGTAAAATAATTAAATAGTTGTTCTTGCATGTAAAATCTAGAAGTACCAATAGCTCAGTTGGTAAATTTTGGGGTTTTGACACCCCTAACTCAAGTTCAATTCTCCTCCCAAGCCACTTTAGTCTTTTTTTTTTACCATTTTAACTTAAATACATGTTTTTTTTCCTTTTATATATTTTTAATTCTTTTAAAACTACATTGTTTTATATACCTTTTCTAATTGCTTATGAAAATGATTTTTAAAGTGTTTATGTAATATAAAATAAATTATATAATATTATTTAAAACAGATTATTGACCCGTGTAAAATTAATTTCTGGGTCCGCCACTGGACTAGTCTCGAACAGGGCTTCACTCAATCAGCTATAGACTTTATTTGGTAGACTGGATTGAGTTGATTCTTCCTCAACTGTAATCTTGACTCTTCTAGATTTCCATAGAGTCCAAGATCTCTGAATTTGTTTCTCGGGAAGGCCTCCAATGAACACCAAACTTCTAGAGCTTTGAATCTGTCCAGAAACGTGTTTTGCTCGCCTTTTGGAAAATTCTAGTGGAAACCACTTATACTTTAAACCTTCAAGGTTTTGAACTCTCACAATAAACCATTAGAATGATAATTTTGTTATTTAAAACCTTCAAAGTGACATTTGTGTTCGCGTATCCACATAAATTCAAGAAAAAACTTCATTTCATTAACAAAAATATTTGTTTTTTTTGTTATAAATAATGATGTAGCTTTAATATGTAATTTTATTTTAATAAAAATTAATCATAATAAATTTTTCCATTTATCATAAATAATATATTTTAAAATTACGAAAAATTAAAAAATGTAGTGTATTCAATCTCTTTTTCGTATATTCAATCCTTTAGAAATTTCACGCCAAGAACCTTGTTTATAGATTGAAGATGTGATACTCACCGAAGATGTGATATAGTCATTCAATCCTCTTCACTGTTTCTAGTTACAGAGATTTTTGCACTAGTGTCCCTGCCAATTCGTGGAATTGTCTTCTTTTCATTCACAGAAGTACGCTTACTTCAAGGACAAATGACAAATATCTTAATTTTTCACTTAAATTGTACTTGCTGCGAAATTAGGCCTAATCATCTTAATCTAGAACCTAAGTTTTTTTCATCATATTAAAACCTTCGTGAGTTTTTCTTCTTTAACCAATGATAATTGATTACTGACGTTAGTAGACTTTCTCGCTAGTTTTGTTGATTACTTGATTTGCAATTGAGAATTTAGCATACTTAAGTATGTTTTTGGGGTTTTAAGCTTGATCGTTTTTTAGTGGGGGTTTAAGCTTGATGGTTTTTGCTTAATGTTTCGAATATTACTTAGCCTGATGCTGACTCTCTTGATGCTCTTACCGTTTGAAACATCTTGAATTCGTTTCCAATTAATATTCTGCATATAAAATTTCTTGAATTTTTATCAATTAATTGTTCTTTTACAAGTTTAAGTGTGGTTAGTGTATTACAGATATGATATATCGTTTAGTCATATATGTTTTATAACGGTTTGATCTCGTTCTTCAGTCTCAGTCCCTTTTTTGAGTTTTTCTAACGTTTTCAGATTTCCATTTATCGCACATTAATGGAAAATGAGTATTTTTCTTCATAACTTTAATACTTATAAAAAGTTTAAAACTCTAACGTTATGCTAAACCAAAAAAAAAAAAATTTACGTTGTGACCAAAAAACGTTTTTCCTCCATTAGTTAAACCTAGTGATGTTAACTTGGGCATGGAACCCCCATTTATTAAATGGGTATGTACAAAAAAAATCAACCCATTTAAACCCATTTAGGAAAAAATGTTAAATGGGGTTAAATGGGTTACCCCAATTAAACCCATTTATTAAATGGGGTTTCACACAAATAAATGGGTACCCATTTAAACCCATTTATGCTTCATTTTATATTAGTTATTTTTATTAAAAATGTTAATATCTTAATAACTAAAATAAAAGAGCAAAATATTAAATATATTTAAAACTAATATTCTACTTAAATTCAATTTTTGATTTAAATATTTAAAACAAAATGTAAAACCACGTCTTCTATAACATGGTTATGCGATTTTGGCGGGAAAACGCGGATTTACGGTTTTGGCGGGAAAACGCGAGTTTACGGTTTTGGCGGAAAAACGCGAGTTTACAGTTTTGGCGGGAAAACGCAGGTTTACGGTTTTGGCGGGAATACGCAGGTTTACGGTTTTGGCGGAAAACGCGAGTTTACGGTTTTGGCGGGAAAACGCGGGTTTACGGTTTTGGCGGGAAAACGCGGATTTATGGTTTTGGCGGGAAAATGCGAGTTTACGGTTTTGGCGGGAAAACGCAGGTTTACGGTTTTGGCGGGAAAACGCACATTTACGGTTTTGGCGGGAAACGCGGGTTTACGGTTTTGGCGGGAAAACGCGAGTTTACGGTTTTGGCGGGAAAACGCGGATTTACGGTTTTGGCGAGAAAACGCTATTTTATGGAAAAATAATTTTTGGTGATAAAACGCAATTTTGCGATTTTGGCGGAAAATGACGTTTTCCCGCCAAAACCGTAAACCCGCATTTTCCCGCCATAATCGTAAAATTGCGTTTTATCACCAAAAATATCATACTATAAAATAACGTTTTCCGCAAAACCGTAAACCCGAATTTTCCCGCCATAATCGTAAAATTGCGTTTTTTGAAACTATATTATTCTTCATCAAAATAATAAAAACAGTTATATCATTATTTATCAATTATATTTAATGAAATAATCTGTAAATTTTAAATAATCAATTAAAATAATTATTTATTATATTATATTGTTTAGAACAAAACAATGTTATATGGGTCTAAATGGATTTAAATGGGTAAAGGAAATTTAAATGGGTTTAAATGGGGAGGTTAAATGGGGTGTAAACTTAAATGGGGTTAAATGGGGTGGGTTTTAAATGGGGTGGGTCTAAATGGGGTGGGTTAGCCCATATTAACATCACTAGTTAAACCATTAGACGGTTTAATTGGTTTACATACCCACTTTGTTTCCAAATTTTTAAGAGAATTTGATTCGAAGCTTGTAAGATAGACAAAAATATATGGCCCAACACATATACTAAAATAAATAAATGTAATCCAAATTTCATTTTATTCAAAGATTCAACCAAATGTTACAAAGCTCACAAAATCTCTAAAGTTTTCAATCAATTACAACAAGCGACTTATACTCATCTCTAGATATAGCAGCCTCCATGATCGTAATGGGATCAATCTCTCCATCGTGATCCAAGAACATTTTTAACAAATTCTTCGAAAACCCACTTAACAAAGCCACTCCTTTCTTGTTTCCAAGCACAGGCGTTGACCTCGAATCCCTCAGGTTCCAAAACACTATCTCCGGCACAGCTTCTCCGTACCCTTTCTCTCTATACTTTCTCACAATCACCTTATAATCTGTTTGCCAAGCATCATCCTCTTCATCATCATCATCTTCATCATCATCATCTTCATCATCATCATCCTCATCATCATCCTCCGAATACGATGGCGTATCCCATCCATTACTTGGATACGACGCTTCATCAAACTCCATATCACTGAACACAAACACCCTCTTGATCATCTCTTCCGGCTTCAGTTTCCCTTCTACGGCTACTTTAAGAATCAAATCAAACACTTTCTGAAAATCAGTGTTCATATCCCATTGCATTCTTTTCACGAAACTTGTTTTTGATCTCAAATCGTCTCCTGTCACCAAATGCAGTTCAGGGTTTTCGCTGAATGTTATAAGCTTTCCTTTCCATGGCTCTTCTGATAGCTCAGAGACTAGCAATCCAAGCGCGACAGAAACCTCCATTGGCTCACCACTCATAGACCCCGAGACGTCACAGATAGCCATGCAGTTGGTGAAAGAACCTTTCGTTTTAAGATCATCAACCATTCGTTTCCATTGCAGCTCAGCGACTTGTCCACCGTCTCCGCCATCTAATTCTCTGATTATCTCGTGAGGTAACACAGCACCGGCGGCTATCTTCGTTTTCCCCATCCTAGCATCTTTAAGGTATTGCTGAAACCTCTCTGCGTCGCGGTACAAGAAAATTTCTTTGTACGACTTCATCGCCACTGATGCAACACGGTTGTAAGGGAGAGATCGCCAAGCTCTAGCTCCCATGTATACTTCAGGGAGTTGCAGAGTCTTCCGGAGGGGAACGAGAACTTGTTTCCTTAGCCGATCACGAACTCTGTACGCATAGTGAGCATCTTCCACGCCTTCGTATTCCGGGTATGATTCTTGGGGAAAGATCTTCCGAGCAATGCTCTCGCAGAGAAGAGTAGCTTTGTCGAACGAAGAATCAAGCGATGGACACCATTTAGCCGCTAGAGAGATTTTGTTTGGTTGGTCGGATGTCAAAAACTCAAGATCTCTCTTTAGTTGATTTGCGAATAGATCAGAGACACGTTCGTGGAGAAACCTATATTTTGGATCGTTAGAATACCTTGTAGATGCGGCCTTCCCCAATGAAACCTTCTTTTGCTTGCGCTTCAAGCTTGCTCTAGCTTTCTCCTCTTGGTTCTTCCTCTCCGCGTTCGCTACCCTCAGCTCCCTCGTGGCTGCCGGCCTTTTTAGACCACGACGAACCATTCCGCGACCCCTTCCACGACCACGACCTAAACCACGGCCAACACCACGACCGCCTCCCGAGTATTTGGATCTTCTACGAAGAATTGCTGCGGCTATTGTCTTGTACCATTGCGATTTCTGGATACTGCGGATTTCCGAACCTTGTAGAATCCGGTAAAGAATCTCCGGAAAATCTTTAAAATAGCCAAACTTGGAAAGGGACTCGAGGTTACAAGCTAGGGTTTTCGGATGGCGACTATGGAGCCACAACGCCGCCGTGTAAAACCCTTCCTTGTCTGATTTTCCAGTGCCACGAACTCCACGAAGGTTACAGATAAGCTTGAGAGTGGTTAAAGAATCATGGTCCCAAGCCTGCTTTAGCCGCTGCTCCAGAGATTTCTTGGGCGTGGAAGGAACAACGTGAAAGAAGAAGTCGAGGCAGGGGTTGCCTGAGGAGAGGTACGTGGCGGATCTATTCTCGGTGTAGCCCATCGCAGGTGAAGATATGTTTAAATCTACTTTTCGCCGTCTAACAGGTCTAACCGGTCTAACAGGCCGAACCGGTCTAACAGGTCGAACAGGTCGAACCGGTCTAACAGGTCTAACAGGATTGATGTTGACTTTAGTTGATTTCTTGACGTTTGAGACCTTTGGGACGCTGGGACGACAAGTGTTGATGTTTTTGAGGAGAGCGGCGAGGTACGTGGGGGGTCTTTCCTCGGTCTGTCCCATCGGAGGTGAAGTATTGACTGGATTGCTGGGACCAGAAGCTGTGAGGGGAGCGTTGGAGTCTTGGATCTTGGTTGGACCAGGGAACTGAGAAGCCATGGTTATTTAAAAATATAAAAAGCACAAGAGACGGTAAAAAATGAGAAGATCAAAAATGAGAAGATCGAAAATGAAGAACACAAATCTATCGAGAGAAGGAAGAGTGTTGAAAATTGGAATTGAGTATCAAGGAGCGATATTGAATCAAGGAACGATGCACCTAATATTTATACAATTACATATGCACCGACTAACTTAGCTAGGGTTTCCTAAACTTGTTACAAAATATAAGGTGATTTCTATTTAACAAAGATACGAAAATATCGGAGATAATATGTTCGGTTGTTGTTCAGTAGCTTGGGGGTCAAGTTTAGAAAAGACTTAAAAGTGATATTATAAGTGGAGGGAATCAACGATCATAAAAGTCTCATATATCTTATAACTAGATAAATGTAGCCACGCTACGCGTGACTTGTTACACTTTTATTGTAAACATGAATTTAAAATTTGAAATGAAAACTAAAAATTCTTCTATTATCACACATATTCTTCTATGATTACAATGCATAATTTTTTAACACCACTTATATTTTATTATTGTAAAAATTAACCAATTAAGTGGTACGACTCAAAATATTTTATAAATTATTTGTATATTGTAATTAAAAAACATATATCAAGAATAGTGTAGTTTCTAGATAGATCTAACACCTACTTAAATTTTTTTATTAAGTCTAAGTTCTAATATCTTCAATTTTAAGAAAATTCAACTTATTTATATACAATCATAATTTTTGTATACTTGATGCAAAGGAAAAACAGCTTTTCTTCTAACATGAATAGCATACATTTTTCATTAAAGATACTCTTTCTCACATCTTTTTACCAACATGATATTTAAACATTTGCTATTGATTATCTAACTGTTTTTATTAAATTAATTTTGTTGGGAAAAAGTAATTTTGACCACAAACCTTGGAAAAATACTACAATGATATTCATATCACTACATGTTGGAACATATATTTGAGAAATGCATTAAAAATTTTAATTTCAAAATGCTAAAACATTGAATAATATTTTTTGTTTGAATAAATAGATAAAGAGAATAATCATACATCAATAGTAAAAAACGAAGATATATCATTTCAATTTGATTGACTTGTGTGAATATTAGAATAGTTAGCTTTTGAACTTCTATAGATAAATCGGGAAACAAATAAATATCATAGTAAGAATTTTGAAAACTGAAAATGAAAGAAATATATTCTTGTAATGCGGTAGAAACAAAATAAAATGGAATACAATATAAACTACATATATACCATATAATCTCTGAAAATAAAATAAACGAAATAAAAATTAAATACAATGTAAACTACATATCATATAATCTTTAAAAATAAATATTACAATCAAACCTTCACTATCACCATGACACAATTGTTTTTAACTCATGCAAGAACATAAAATAAAGTAAATTTACATATTTGAAAATATGGTGGAGAATGATAAGAGAATTGATATTTATAGATGAGAAATGGTGAAACTCTTATAATTATTGAGTATGAGTTACAAATTATTATTTATTGGTAGAAGTTACTATTGAGTTCAAATGTAGAGTTTAAATTATAGTCAATATAATTTTCAAATAGTTAATGCATTTTAGTGGAGGAGTTACAAATGAATTTAAATGTGGAGTTACACATGAGTTTTAAAGGGAGTTAATTAGAGATTAATATATTAAAAGTAAATTTAAGAAAATATGAAAAAGAAATGCCAAGTGGACCAATTATGGGAGAGTGAAACCCTACTTTTATATGTATGATTAATAATTAAACTATTTTGTTCTCTTTTTAAAATGGAAAATAATGTTTATATTATATCTTATATTTTACCTTATAATAAACCAAAAAAATTAATAAATGCAAGGTAAATAATTCCATATATATAGTAGACTAAAAGATGAAATCAATTATATCATTATAATGTTTATAAATTAATAAATTAAAAACTAAATTAATATTTTATTAATTTTATGTTTTTTTATGTTCACCAATAATAGTAAAATAATTATTAACATAAATTAAATACAAATTAAAAATGTAACGAAAAAAATACAACATATTTTATAAAATTTCTCGGTTTGATTATGTGTGTGGGTAACCTATTAACAAAATTTCTTTTAAATATCAAACTATTCAGAATTAAAGTCAACCTGGTTCTGGGGGTTTCATCTTTTGTTTTCACAAAATCCAACTTGCTGAGACTCTTTCAAAGTCTTTTTCGCTCCACTAGTGCTTTCTCTTGATGCTCTTAATTATCCTCCCATACAATTAATTTTTTGATTTGATATTAACCAGAAATATATATATATACTATCAACCGTTTGAATATTTTGAATACGTTTCCAATTAATATTGTGCATATATAATTCGTTGAATTTTTATCAATTAGTTGTCCTCTTTTCGACCAATCAGATTGGGCTACGAAAGCACTATTGGGGTTAGCTGACTCTGACTCTGGTATATTTTGCGAGTTTAAGTGTGGTTCGTATATGTTTTACTTCTTAATTATAACAATGTGATCTTTCTCTTCAATCTCAGTGACTCAAACTCTCAGCCCCCATTTTTTTCTACTGTTTTCAGAATTCCATTTATCTAAGCAGACTGAAAAATGAGTACGTATTTTTTTAATAACTTTAATATATACTTAAAGAAATTCTTACGCCGTGTTAAAACAAAAAAAAAAAAAAAATAATTTTTTACGTTGTGACAATTTATTTGTGGCGGATCTATTAGTTAAACCTTCTCTGTTTAGTTGGTTTACAATACCGACTTTGTTTACCAAAATTTTAGGAGAATTTGATTCGAAGCTTGTAAGATAGACAAAAGTCAAAAATATATGGCCCAATACATATACTGAAATAAAGTAATTCAAGTTTCAATTTATTCAAAGATTCAAACAAATGTTACAAAGCTCACAAATCTCTACATTTTTCAATCAATTACAACAAGCGACTTATACTCATCTCTAGATATAACAGCCTCCATGATCGTTATGGGATCAATCTTTCCATCTTCAATCTTTCCCTCATCAATCTCTCCACCGTGTTTTAAAAACACTTTGATCAAGTTCTTCGAAAACCCACTTAACAAAGCCACTCCTTTCTTGTTTCCAAGCACAGGCGTTGACCTCGAAGCCCTCAGATTCCAAAACACTATCTCCGGCACAGCTTCTCCGTACCCTTTCTCTCTATACTTTCTCACAATCACCTCATAATCTGTTTGCCAAGCATCATCCTCTTCATCATCATCCTCTTCATCATCATCATCATCGTCATCATCATCATCATCATCATCATCATCCTCTTCATCATCATCCTCCGAATACGATGGCGTATCCCATCCATTACTTGGATACGACGCTTGATCAAACTCCATATCACTGAACACAAACAACGTCTTAATCATCTCTTCCGGCTTCAGCTTCCCTTCTACGGCCACTTTAAGAATCAAATCAAACACTTTCTGAAAATCAGTGTTCATATCCCATTGCATTCTCTTCACGAATCTTGTTTTTGATCTCAAATCGTCTCCTTCCACCAAATGCAGTTCAGGGTCTTTGCTGAATGTTATAAGCTTTCCTTTCCATGGCTCTTCTGATAACTCAGAGACTAACAAACCAAGGGCGACTGAAACCTCCATTGGCTCACCACTCATAGACCCCGAGACGTCACAAATAGCCATGCAGTTGGTCAAAGAACCTTTCTCTTTAAGGTCATCAACCATTCGTTTCCATTGCAGCTCAGCAACTTGTCCACCGTCTCCGCCGTCTAAATTTTTTATTATCTCGTGAGGTAACACTGCACCGGCGGCTATCTTCGTTTTCCCCGTCTTCGCATCGTTAAGATATTGTTGAAACCTCTCTGCATCACGGTACAAGAAAATCTCCTTGTACGAGGCCATTGCCACTGATGGAACACGGTTGTAAGGGAGAGATCGCCAAGCTCTAGCTCCCATGTACACTTCAGGGAGTTGCAGAGTTCTCCGAAGGGGAACAAGAACTTGTTTCCGTAGCCGATCACGAACTCTGTACGCATAGTGAGCTTCTTCCACGCCTTCGTATTCCGGGAATAATTCTTTGGGAAATATCTTCCTAGCAATGCTCTCGCAGAGAAGAGTTGCTTTGTCGAACGAAGAATCAAGCGAGGGACACCATTTAGCCGCTAAAGAGATTTGGTTTGGTTGGCGTGATTTTAAAAACTCAAGGTCTTTCCTTAGTTGATTTGCGAATAGATCAGAGACACGTTCGTGGAGAAACCTATAGTCTGGATCGTTAGTATATCTTGTGAATGCGGCCTTACCCATTGAAACCTTCTTTTGCTTGCGCTCCAAGCTTGCTTTGGATTTCTCCTCTTGGTCCTTCCTCTTTGCGTTTGCTACCCTCAGCGACCTCGTGGCTGCCGGCCTTTTTAGACCACGCATTCTGCGACCACTTTCATGACCACGACCAAAACCACGGCTAACACCACGACCGCGTCTGGCGAATTTGGATCTTCTACGAAGAATTGCTGCGGCTATAGTCCGGAACCATTCCGATTTCTGGATACTGCGGATTTCAAATCCTTGTAGAATCCGGTAAAGAATCTCCGGAAAATCTTTAAAGTAGCCAAACTTGGAGATGGACTCGAGGTTACTAGCTAGGGTTTTGGGATGGTGACCATGTAGCCACAAAGCCGCCGTGTAAAACCCTTCCTTGTCAGATTTTCCAGTGCCACGGACTCCACGAAGGTTACAGATAAGCTTGAGAGTGGTTAAGGCATCATGGTCCCAAGCCTCCTTTAGCAGCTGCTCCAGAGATTTCTTGGGCGTGGAAGGAACAATGTGAAAGAAGAAGTCGAGGCAGGGGTTGCCTGAGGAGAGGTACGTGGCGGATCCATTCTCGGTGTAGCCCATCGGACGTGAAGATTTATTTGGATCAACTTTTCGCGGTCTAACAGGTTTGACGGTGACTTTAGTTGATTTCCTGACGTTTGAGACCTTTGGGACGCTGGGACGACAAGTGTTGATGTTTTTGAGGAGAGCGGCGAGGTACGTGGGGGGTCTTTCCTCGGTCTGTCCCGTCGGAGGTGAAGTGTTGACGTTTGAGACCTTTGTCTCCGTGACTGGATTGCTGGGACCAGAAGCTGTGATGGGTTTCGTGAGGGGTTTTGTGAGGGGAGCGCAAGAGTCTCGGATTTCGGGTGGACCAAGCAACGAAGAAGCCATGGTTATTTAGAAATGAAGAAACAAAAAAGGCACAAGAGACTGTCGAAGAAGAGAAGAGAGTTGCGAATCGGTATTGATGATGAAAGAGCGATATTGATTCAAGGGGCTGCACCTAATATTTATACAAATACGTAGTCACCGACTAACCTATCTAAGGTTTCTTAAGTTGTTACAAAATAAAATATAAGGTAATTTCTACTTAACAAAGATACGAAAATATCGGAGTTAATATGTTCAGATTTTGTTTTGATCTTTATTCAAATAAAACTTTATTCAGTAGCTTGGGGATCAAGTTGAGAAAGACTTAAATTGGTTGATAATAGTCAAGTTTATTGGCCAAAGATCCGTTTTATCCGTGGAGGGAATCGACGATCATTAAAGTCTCATATATAGTATAATTAATAAATAAATTATGTTGTTATCTTTTTAAAATGGTGAATAATGTTTATTTGATATCTTATATGTATCTTAAAATAGACCATTAAAATAAATAAAATGCATTGTAAATAGTTCTCTATATATATATATATATAGTAGAATAAAAGGTTAAATCAATGATACGATTATAATGTTTATAAATTAATGAAATCATAATTAAATTAATATAATTTATTAATTTTGTGTTTCTTTTTGTTCACCAATAATAGTAAAAATAATTATTAACACACATGAAATACAAATTAAAAAGTAACCAGAAAAAATACAACATATTTTATAAAATTTCTCGGTTTGATTAGGGTGTGTGGCAATCTAACTAATTTGTTTTTAAATATCACACTCTTGAGAAAGTCAACCTGGTTCTCAAGGTTTCATCTTTTGTTTTCACAAAATCCAACTTGCTGAAACTCTTTAAAAATCTTGTTCGCTGCACTAATGCTCTCTTGATGCATGCTCTTAATTATCCTCCTATACAATTTTTACCAGTGCGTGTTAGCTGACTCTGGTAGGGTGTATATTTTTACACATTTTAGTGTGGTTCGTATTGGTTAGTATATGTTTTGCTTTTTTAATTATAACAATGGTTTGATCTTTCTCTTCAATATCAGTCCCTTTATTTTAATGTTTTCAGATTTCTATTTTTTTTTTTTTTGTCAACCACACATTAATTAATAAATAACTCCTTGATTGGTTTCAGATTTCTATTTATCTAATCACAATGAAAAATGAGCACCAAGTATCTCAGTATTACTTTTTTCATAACTTTAATACTTCAAGAAATTCTTACGTTGTGACAAAAAAGAGTTTTTCCTCCGTGATTTTTTTTATTTATTGTATCGGTAGTAGTAGTGACGGATCGATTAGTTAAACCATGAATTCTGCTTGGTTTAATTGGTTTACATACACACTTTGTTTACTAAAAGAATTTGATTCGAAGCTTGTAAGATAGACAAAATTATATGCCCCAATAATATATAGATATAAAAAAAACTCTACAATTTTCAATCAACTACAACAAGCGACTTATACTCATCTTTAGATATAGCAGCCTCCATGATCATCATGGGATCAATCTCTCCATCACCAATCTCTCCATCACCAATCTCTCCATCGTGTTCCAAAAACAGTTTTATCAAGTTCTGGGAAAACCCACTTACCAAAGCCACTCCTTTCTTGTTTCCAAGCACAGGCGTTGACCTCGAATCCCTCAGGTTCCAAAACACTATCTGCGGCACAGCTTCTCCGTAACCTTTCTCTCTATATTTGCTCACAATCACCTCATAATCTGTTTCCCATCCATTACTCGGCGTGGGAGGCGTATATCCCCATCCCCATCCCCATCCCCATCGACTATACGTTGGCGTATTCGATCCATTACTTGAATACGACGCTTGATCAAACTCCATATCACTGAACACAAACACCCTCTTGATCATCTCTTCCGGCTTCAACTTCCCTTCTACGGCCACTTTAAGAATCAAATCAAACACTTTCTGAAAATCAGTGTTCATATCCCATTCCATATTCCTCACAAACTCTGTTTTTGATCTCAAATCGTCTCCTTCCACCAAATGCAGTTGAGGGTTTTGGCTGAATGTTATAAGCTTTCCTCTCCATGGCTCTTCTGATAGCTCAGAGACTAGCAAACCAAGGGCGACTGAAACCTCCATTGGCTCACCCATCATAGATCCCGAAACGTCAGAGATAGCCATGCAGTTCGTTAAAGAACCTTTCTCTTTAAGGTCATCAACCATCCGTTTCCATTGCAGCTCAGCGACTTGTCCACCGTCTCCTCCCCAGTCTAATTCTCTTATTATCTCGTGAGGTAACAGAGCACCGGCAGCTATCGTCGTTTTCCCCGTCCTCGCATCGTTAAGATATTGCTGAAACCTCTCTGCGTCGTGTTTCAAGAAAAAACCCTTGTACGACTTCATCGCCACTGATGCAACACGGTTGTAAGGGAGAGATTCCCAATCTCTCGCTCCCATATATACTTCAGGGAGTTGCAGAGTCTTCCGGAGAGGAACAAGAACTTGTTTCCGTAGACGATCACGAACTCTGTACGCATAGTGAGCATCTTCCACGCCGTCGTATTCAGGGAATGATTCTCGGGGAAAGATCTTCCTAGCAATGCTCTCGCAGAGAAGAGTTGCTTTATCAAAGCAAGAATCAAGCGAGGGACACCATTTAGCCGCTAGAGAGATTTGGTTTGGTTGGTCGGATGTCAAAAACTCAAGGTCTCTCCTTAGTTGATTTGCGAATAGATCAGAGACACGTTCGTGGAGAAACCTATAGTCTGGATCGTTAGAATATCTAGTAAATGCGTCCTTTCCCATTGAAACCTTCTTTTGCTTGCGCTCCAAGCTTGCTCTGGCTTTCTCTTCTTGGTTCTTCCTCTCTGCGTACTCTACCCTCAGCTGCCTAGTGGAGGCCGGCCTTAGTTGAAGGCCACTGCGACCCATTCCCCGACCGATTCCGCCACCTCTTCTACGACCACGACCACGACCAAAACCACCTCTCGAGGTTTGGCGAGAGAATCGAGCTCTTCTATTTCGAGATGCTCCGCCCTTCCTCTGGCTCCACTCCAATTTCTGGATACTGCGAATTTCAGATCCTTGTAGAATCCGGTAAAGAACCTCTGGAAAATCTTTAAAGTAACCAAATGTTGAGATGGACTCGAGGTTACAAGCTAGGGTTTTGGGATGGTGACCATGCAGCCACAACGCCGCCGTGTAAAACCCTTCCTTGTCAGATTTTCCGGTGCCACGGACTCCACGAAGGTTACAGATAAGCTTGAGAGTGGTTAAGGCGTCGTGGCCCCAAGCCTCTTGTAGCCGCTTCTCAAGAGATTCCTTGGGCGTGGAGGGAACAACGTGGAAGAAGAAGTCGAGGCAGGGGTTGCCTGCTGAGAGGTACGTGGCGGATCCATTCTCGGTGTAGCCCATCGCAGGTGAAGAGTTGACGTTGAGTTTAGTTGATTTGTTGAAGTTTGAGACCATTGCGTCCATGAATGGGTCGCTGGGACCAGGAGTTGTGTTTTTGAGGAGAGCAGAGAGGTACGTGGGACCAGAAGCTGCAGTGGGTTTTGTAAGGAGAGTATTGGACTCTCGGATCTCGGGTGGACCAAGCAACGGAGAAGCCATAGTTATTTAGGAGTGATGATATGTTCCGAGGTTGAGAAAAGAAACGAAAAAGCAAAAGAGACGGTCGAAAAAGAGATGATCGAAGATGAAGAACAACACAAATCGATCAAGAGAAGGAAAATAAGAGTTGAGAATCAAAGAGAGATATTGAATCAAGGAGGCTGTACGGCTGTACCTAATATTTATACAAGTACGTATACACCGACTAACCTAGCTAGGGTTTCCTAAAGTTGTTACAAAACCAAGGATAATTATAATTACCGAAGACACGAGAATATCGAGAATATCAAGTTATCCAAAAATCTTGTTTCTCTAGCTTGGGGATCACGTTTTTCACTAGCTTGGGCTTCTATAGAAAGCTTTGACTTTAAGTGGGCCCTACTATAATTATAATATCTTACTAGATCATCACCCGTACTAAAGTACGGATTAAATTTTATTTATTACAAAATTTATATAATATATATATTAGAACTAAGTTTTAATATATTATAATACAAAGTAAAAAAATATTTTTTTTTTTGTCAGTCCCTATATACAATATTAGAATAAATATAGATTGTTTTCTATAATACTCAATTATGGATAATTTTTTTTTAAGATATGAAAATGGAAAATAATTTTATTTTTTAAAAAGTAATATTTTTTGAACAATTAGTTAATTTATGTTAACAACCACAAAATAGGATTGCATATATTTTAGTTAGAATTAAAATATCATAAAAAAAATTAAGAAATTATTTTGAATTAATTAAGAAATTAGCTATTATTTTGAACTAATTTAGAAAATTCTTTTTCAATTTATAATTCTTTGGTTGTTGAAATAGAGATTTGTTTGAGCTAATCTAATTACAGAATTTGTTTGAGATTTATAATTACGGAATTTACCAATTATTTGCACAATCGAATATGTTATAAACATATATTTAGTATATAATAATACCAAAATCAACCTGTGCGTGGAGTCTATATTTTTATTTTTAAATCTCAATATTTCATTTTAAAATATTGCGTGCACAATCTATTATTCGTTAATTCTAAAATTGCTTGCGGAATCAAATTTTCAAATATTTAGAGGTGTCAAAAGATATTTAAATGTTCTACACTATTTTTAATTATTCCAAATTAAAATCTTTAATTTTTGTTTGTAGTTTATAAATTTTGAATTTCAAAAAACAAATTATATGAAATTAAATATAACTATTCAAATAGTTTTAAGGATCAAAACTCATTTCATCATATAATATATTATATTTAACCCGCTACCTATTATAAATATTTTTAAAAATAATCAAATTAGAGTATTTATAATTTTTAACTTTTTGAACTATTAAGTATTGATGATATTCTCTAAAAATATCAAGTAAAACTTATTTTAAATGTTGCAAATTCAAATATTTAATTTTTTATTGAAGTATATAAAATTATACATTTCAAAAAATAAATGTATGAAATCGAATATAAATATTCAAATTCTGACCCGTTGCTCCGTCGAAATTTTTGTTGAATTTATTTTTGTGTAAAAGAAATATATTACTCAAGTCTGAATTTTTGACCGGTTTAATTGTTTTCTTTATAGATTGAACAATTTATATGCGTTTTTAAAAATTCAAATCTTGGCATATGCAGAAAAAAATTACTTTTTTTTTTATTGTATAGATGATATGATGATTTATTTGTTTCATATAAATATAATCATATAAAGATGAGAGGTGAAGTTTAATGATTAATAACAAATTAATATGGTAAGTTAGATATCAAATCTTATATATTCATTTTGATTGGCCATTTAAAAAAAATTAATAACAGATTTTCGTTTTATAATTTAATTAAATTAATTAAATGACATAATTAGTATTTTACTTGTTTATCCTTAAGAAATTGAATAAATTTGTTTAAAAAGAAGAAATTTGTAATGGCATTCTCATGTAATTTTTTACAAAAGAGAAGGTTAGTTAAGGGTTTCTTATAAAGTGTACTCCCCAAATAATAGTATAGGATGATCTTTATCTCTTATAATCCCACTAACATTAATTCAAAAATGATGTTGATGATAAAATGAAACTAGTTTTTGTCAATTTTACATCAAATCTTATTGGTCTTAGGAATAAAAGAAATTTTCTCATTAAGGATTTAAAAAGCTAATCACTAAAAGTCATATTCTAATAACCATACCAAATGGAAAACATTTCTAGTACTATTTTTGTAACCAAACAACCAATTTTGTTTTTTTTTACAATATCTTCTTAATTTATTTTTATTTAAAATATTTATATTTTATTTCTATATAGAAGTAAAAATCTTCACAAAATCTCTTTTCAACTTTTTCAAAAAATTCAAAATAAATGAATAACAATTAACAATAATCTTATTTTAAATATATTAGTATATTAATTGATATTAACTCATTTAAAATCTATCAATAATGACAAAAATGAGAAGATAAAATTAAAATATTTTTCTCCAAACATAAACTTAATAAGAAGACATTTTGCATCTAAATTCTATATTTAATGTATTTTAAATATTTTATACAAATAATCAATCTTAAACATAGAAAATACTAATAAACAAGAGAAATTTGTACACTCAACGTTATAAAAATAAGTGTATAACATCGCGTAGTACACTACACGATAAGTAATTACTTAATTAAAATTCATACAACCATAACTTTTAAAATAAAACTTAACAAAGGACGATACTTCCGCGATGGCACAATATTCACCGCTACAAGAGGGAACGACCCATGGTTACCAACAACTCCACCAAGGGCACCTAGGCTACTACCAACGACCGACCCACTGCTCACGGTGGCGCACCTCGTTGATGCGACGTCACACCAATGGAATGAAGATCAGATTGCAAGGCTAGTCCATCCGGATGACCATCATCTTATTTACAAGATCTATATTCCTCTCAAACCCAAAGCGGATTCACACCTATGGAGCCCTACGAAGGATGGTAACTACACGGTTAAGTCTGGGTACTGGACAGGTACAAATCTACTCTTAGATGATGAAACTCCACAACCCCGACTAGCACACTTCCCCGACATTGCTACAAGTATTTGGAAGCTGGGAATCACATCCAAATTAAAGCATTTTCTATGGCGAGTGGCCTCACGAGCGATAGGAACTGCGGATAACTTGAGACGACGAAACATAAATGTAAACTCCTACTGTTCACGATGTTGCACGGAGCTTGAGACGAGTGAACACATTCTCTTTACATGCACCTACGCCAAAGGAGTGTGGAGAGCAGCAGGAATACCCACTGCCCATATATGCGACCCCAGCAAGCCGATAGAAGACAAGCTCCGGCAACTCTTCACTATCCATAATGATGAACAAATACATCGCAGCACACGATTCTTACCTTTTTGGATATTGTGGAGACTATGGAAAGGCCGAAATGACCTGGTGTTTAATCGTAAAGCCATAACTACAGTGGAAACAGTAAACCAGGCCACATCGGACACTAAGGAATGGCTGGACAATGCTCCAAAGGCTGCAAATAGGAACACCTTAACTCCGGTTAAGAAAACACGTGAGGTAGGCTGGAGCAAACCCCCGAAGGTGTGATGAAATGTAACTATGATGTATCACACTATGACGGGAACAGAAGCTCGGGCTTAGGATGGATTATACGAGATTCCTTTGGAACTGATCATGATTGCGGATGGGGAACATTTCAAGGACGCACTACAACGGAGGAAGCTGAATGCACAAGCCTCATATGGGCATTACAAGCAGCCTGGGGACTGGGATACCGAATGGTTGAGTTTGAAGGCGATAATCAGAACACAAACATCATCATCAATGGAACAACACCACATCCACGGCTGCAAAACTATATCGAAACAATATGGGCATGGAAAAAACTTTTCACTCTAGCCACTTTCAAGTTCAAACCGCGAGAACAAAACAAGTGTGCTGACATACTTGCAAAGAAAGCAATAAGTTGTAATGAGGATTGGGGTTTGTATCATTCTTGTCCGCAATTTCTAAACACTGCTGTAAACAACGATATTGATCCGGAAAATTAATAAAGTTTTTGGAAGAAAAAAAAAAACTTAACAATACTTAAAAATATATTACACGGTAAATATAACAGTCTAACTAAAATTTATTACAACCATAACTTTTTAAATAAAACTTAACAGTATATGCTACTCTTGATTTCCCACCAATTTCTCAAATCGACTTTTTTCACCAAAATTTTTAGGTGTTCTACTATATCCTTTTTTTTGATTGAATGGAAAATTTTATTCGAACTGAATTTTTTTTAAAATGAATTGACTTTGTGAGCTGAAAAGAATTTGAGATCAATGTTGAATAACTAAGTTGGGAAGAGAGATTCCTTTTGCTAGTGAGTACAGGTAGCAAACCTAGACGGAGGCCATCGTCATATACATGATCACCTTGGTTTCTGATCGAGTTGAAGCGATTTTTGATGGCTTTGTCTATGAGCTTAACAAGACGGTTTGGTGAGTTTAGAGGCTCCTCATGTCTTGTTCTGTTTCTTTCACACCATATTTGATAGATTGCGGTTTCAAATGCATAACGAATTGTGAATAGCTGCAGTCGGTCATAGTTAGAATCATTGGTCAATGCAATAAGCTGATCCTAATTTGTGGAGAAATCTGTTGCAACTAAGAATTCGCTGAATCATATTGTGATTTTTTAAATTTTTAATTAATTGATATTTTTGTAATACACCTATATATGAATTTAATGTATAGTAAAAAAATTGAAGGAGTCTCTAAATAAATTTAGATTACATAGTGTTGACAACCAACATTATGGGTCATGACGGTTACATTGTTACAAAAGACCAAACCCAGTTCGAAAATACGCTAGAAAAAGATTTGAGTCAGAAGGTTAATTAGAGCAAGCCTCTAACCTACAAGACCAACATTAACCACTAACACAGTAACACTAAGTAGCAAATTTCGTAGTAATACATGATGTTTTTTTGGTAGTATCTTGACCAGAGCTAGCGTCAAGATTTTTGTGCATATACCATATACGCTCCCGTCTCCCGAAGCCTAAGCGTAGAAAATCATATATTCTCTAAACGTAACAAGTATTGATTGTATTACTTCGATATATGTACGATCAGTTCACTTAATTTCTTTATTATGCTAACAC